TCTTTCATGCCCCTCGGACTTTTCTTTCAACCAGTTGTTAAAGTCTAAGAGTGTTGGTCGCTGCCAATTATGTCTAACAGTATGCATCGACCAAGCCTCCTTGAGGTTAGGCGGAAGTTTACTAACAGCTTGGTTTAACAGGTTAACACTCTTTAGATCATCGTTGAAAGACAATGATTTGAAAACTGCTACGAGGCCAGATATGGCAGAGGAGAAACTAATGACATTTTCCGAATTGTGCATCTTAAGTGGAGGAAAAGTATTCAGCTTATCAAGATGCGCACCAACAATGGCATGTGGTTGCCCAAACTTCCGTTGCAAGGTGGCCAGTGCATCCTTGTACATAACGCCACTATAACTAAACTCCGCAATTGCGGTTTTTGCTTTGCCTGTGACGAGCGTTTTTAAGTATGTCAATTTCGTATCATCGGTGAGAACAGCGGAATCAACGGTGGACTTAAACTGACCAAACCATTCGTGCCAGTTTAACGGGTTACCGTCAAACTGGGCTAACTTCCATTCAGGAAGATGATCTTTGCGGCTATGCATCAATAATTCCGCCAATTCACGAGCGGAGAGAGGTCGATCCGATGAACAACCTTGGTTCGAATAAGCGGGAGACGGTGCGTAGTCTTCGTTGACTGGCTGATAACCAGTATTAGTTTGATTGACGAAATACGGAACATGTTGGGGATGAACTGGGGGAGTATTAAAATACACAGTCCCACCACTAGTATAAGGAACGGCGGTGTTACACGATGGGACAATAGTTGTCACATTAGAAAAAATGTTTCCAGCATTACAACACTGAGCAGGCGTGACGATTGGAGTTGTAGCTGCCAATCGCCATAAGTTTGCATCACTTGTGTAGTAATCGTTGATACTAGGTGACACAGTATGCGGAACAAAGGGAAGATTATGTTGCGTCTGGACTGGCTCTGCATGGCAGTTAGGTGCCGAAAAGAAAACCGGCGTTGGGTTTACTCCAGAAGATGAGAAGCCACCACCAGCAAATGCAGGCGACAAAGAAACAAAACCAGAACCGGGTTGGGCCGGTAACATTGGGACAGGTAATGATTCCGGTTGCGCAATGGCAAAACTACCATTAGTTATGTTTGAACTCATGGTCTGTAAAGGAATAGCAGACGGTGGTGACACGTGTGCACTAGAATGCATATTGTTAACTGGGAATGGAACAGAGGCTGGGAATGAAACAGAAGCTTGCAATGGCAAACGGCTTGCACTGCCAAATTGAGGCATAGCCCGATGTCCATAACTATGGATTCCAGGGTCACTCAATGCTGTGTGCTCATGGTTATGACTATTACTGGTGTGAATTGCATGAGCAAGGAGGGCGGAAGTCGTCGGTCCTGACGAAATGGGTACATGAGTGAAGGCCTGCAAACCTGGAGCACTAGCAACGTCGGGAGGTGCTTGTGAACTAACAGAGTCTACCCAATCATTAGTTCGATCGGTTGCTACCTTTGAAATAGGTTGACTTACTCCTGTTACATTACTTTCGGCTACCTTCTCGCTAACCTCAGATGAACTGTCCTCAAGTTCAAACGCTTTCAATTCCATTTCAATTAGTTGCTTTTTATGATTTTCAGCCAATTGCTCTAGTTCCAGCTGACTTTGTTCGAACTTAAGACGGTTCTCTTGCTCTTTAAGTCTTAAAGATACTTGATACTGCCTTTCCAGCTCCTCATGGCGTCGTTTTACTAAAGCTAACTCATGCCGTTTCTCACTTGATGACATAGTGCGAACAGTCGACGTATGACGAGTGGAAGCAGATTTATCAGACTTATGTGAGTCAAGCTTTCTACTATCCTTAGACTTATTAGAGACCTTAGACCTGTTTTCAGATACTCGTGCTGCTGAATCACTTGTTTTGTGCGAGCGTGAGGATGTCTCAGACCTGGTTTGTTGTAAAGATCCCTTGCTCCCTGTAATGCCGGCTGCTGGAAATGACGAAGGTTCAAGGCTCATCTTGTAACTCTGAGCTTCGTGCATTACTTTATCGTTCATTTCGGTTACTTTCTTAAGCCAAAGGTCTTGCTGAGCAATAATTTTTTCAGGATTTTCCGTTTTTCCCGCTAACCTAATTAATTGCTCATTGACGTCGACAGCTTTTTCCAACGCAATTTTACATTTGTAAACAGCATTATCAATTTTTGTAGTGCGACTATTATTCTCAATGTACTCAAGTAATAATGAGTGACCTTTGAGCAGCTCATTTTCTAGATTTAGACGGGTTTCGAATAACTTGCGTATCTTGCTTTGGAATTTTTCGTCCATGTTTTTCACAAATTGACAATATTCTACGGATGCTCACTTATAGAAAACAATCAATAAAATGAGATACTGTTTTGGTACGTAATTAAATTTGCATTAGTAAATCAACATTAGCTTACAAGACGGGGGAACTTGACGTCTCAAAGCTTCTACCTGAAGCCTATTTCTTATAGCTTTCCGAGCTTTGAGGGGTAAGCGGTTTCGCTTCTTACGTGTCTTAAGGATGTTAAGATTAGCGCTATAACGCCTTAGAAGGAGGAGAGTCTTTAACTCAAGGGAAGGAGGCTGGTGAAGCTCTTTGTACTTCTCAATTAGTACCTGGTCCTTAGCCTTACGCTTAGAGATAAAGTCTTTAACGACGTTGAGAACGAGAATACCTGTTGAACCTAAACTTTCCTCTATATCCTCGGTTCCGTTCCGTCTACAGTATACGATCGCACAAATGTTTGTCCTATACCTTAATAACAAATTGACAAGTTGCTCACTACTCAGCTTGCGGTTATTGTTGCTGCGGTGCCTACTTATCGAGTTATTAATGGCGTCGTGCCAAATTACAAGGTCGTTACGGTGCGACAAATAGTGATGAAGGTAGTACTGTATCGTTTTCTGAGAGTCCCTAGCGTTAAAGTTCAAACTTAAACCTGGCTTCGTAAAGCAAGTATCTTTGACGCGCTTCTGGGACGGAGCGGGAAGTTTTCGGAGCGCGTGATCCAAAGAACTAGCTCCTAGAATGAATACCATACACTTAGGGGACCTATGCGACGGCTTCGTTACGCTTAAGTACCAATGGGGTTGGGAAATTAAGTAGGTCGGTTGAACTCCAACAACACACACGGAGTAAACCTGAGGATGAAAGAATTCAACTTAACTCACTTAATATCACCGTACCTGACCACTTAACTTTACTGTCACGCAACGAAGTCAATAATATGACGGGCTGAAACGGCTTTGTTTTACTCGAAGCGAACTGGCTTTCAGTTTCACCAATGGTGGGTGGGGGATCAGGCAAATTGGTTAAGTTCCAACAACACACGCGGAAGAAACCTGAGGATGAAAAAACTCAACTTAATTTGCCTGATATTTCGCTACCAGACCACTTAACATAAGGTTGGTTTCATCTTACAGCACAATTTCGCAGAATTCTGGAGACGTTTTGAGGATTTTTTGTTAATTTTTTACTTTTTTCACAAAATTTTTCAGTAAATTTTGGTCAGCAGGTTCGAGTCATAAACCAATCCAAAAAACTAGTCCAGTACCTCTTGTCTATGTTCCGATTTCACTGATTATTATTCCGTTCACATATATCCAAAAATTTTTGGTATCGAGAAAAAATGTCAAGTCAGTTTGTCTATGTACCGACTGTAAGATATTTCAGTTCAACGGAACTGTCCAAAAATTTTGGGTATTGAGAAAAATTACCGGGGGCTAGCTTGCGGAAAAATTTCTCAAGATGTATGACAGCGTATAAAATTTTATAGCACAATATGAGAGTTTTAAAAGTTTGTCGAGTCTTACAGTTTTGAAGATTGGGCGGTCACCGGTCTTACACGACACAGACGCTCTCTGCAATCCGCAAGAGACCCTCTGCAATCCGCAACAGACACTCTGCAATCTGCAACCGACACTCTGCAATCTGCCACAGACACTCTGCAATCCGCAACAGATGCTCTGCAATCCGCCACAGACACTCTGCAATCTGCAACCGACACTCTGCAATCCGCTACAGACACTCTGCAATCCGCAACAGATGCTGTGCAATCCGCCACAGACCCTCTGCAATCTGCAACCGACACTCTGCAATCCGCTACAGACACTCTGCAATCCGCAACAGATGAATTCCGACCGACAGCACTCTGTTTGAGCCACCTGCTTTCGTACAACTCTGGGGATTCTGCCCTCTACACTCGTGTCGGGAAAACTGTCCGAGAAACAAATTGAAAGGGAACTATCATCGATCTCGTGTCCCTTGTGGGGCGCCAAAATGTGCGCTCAATCTCCGTTATTTGGTAAAACTATGAAGTCGAATGCTTTGAATTATAAAGAGTATTTATCGGCAAAGACTCTCAGAAAAATCAATATTTTATCATAATTTTGGTCAAGCATAACATCATATAACTTCAATTCTGAACTGTCCGTTTTTGGTACAAAACGGCGCAAGCTAGCCACAAGAACCGGTCGGTAATGTCCTTGAGACAAATTGCTCTTTTTGGCGGTCAACCTTAATCAAGGCTGAACCGAATTAGAACCAAAAAAAACAGTAAAAAACGGTCAAATGGGGCTATAGCCCCTCGGGTCTACATGTTTTAAGGTCTGCATATGGGGGGACTCGAACCCTTGACCGTTGGATCCCTTGATTGTCAAAACTATGACGTTAACGTTATAGCTTTAGAAAACTTGAGTCTACATAAACAATGATACTGAAATTGAAAACTAACTTTTAATAACTGTCTTTACAAGTCATGGGACAATATGGCCTTCGGAACTTTGAAATATAATGAAATTAAGTTTTGTCGAAGAGGATGACACTAAATCATCAAAAGTGAGAAAAAAGCGCAGGTAAAAAATATCTTAAAAAAACATGCTTTCGATGCCCTGAGAGATTTAAGTTTTTCTGCAAGAATCTTGACATAATCCAGTGAAATTTTTGCTTTTACTCCGTGAAATGACATAATCTCGTTAAAATTGTGCTGTTAATTTTTATGCACCCTTGACGTAGTAGGTGAAGCCCCTCCGTTTGCTCTTGTACTCGAGGGTGATTCCGGCAAAGTCCTCCTGGGTCACTATGAAGCTGGGGGGCTTCAATTTGGGGTAGCTGAACTTCAGGTATTCGTGCAGATTGTCCAGCCCATTCACAAAATCCCGCACGTTCCGACCCAGCACCTGATGGCCATAAAAACCTCTGAGATAAGTTTGAAACTTTTTTGAAAGTTTTAATTACTCTTTTGATACCAGAGAAACTATTTATTTTTGGTTGTTGTCTTTTTGATCCTCATTTGCATATTCTTTTTTAAAACAAAATAAATTGAGCTTTGAAAAAATGCATCGGGCAGAATTGGTTCTAGTTTGTGTGTATTCATGGTCTCAGAACTAAGCGAAAAAAGTGGGTTGTCAAAAAAGTTAATAGGATTTCACTGACAATTTTTTGGTCAGCAAAAATGAATTTCCTATTTCTCCCAAAATGCTATAAAAAAGTTTTTTTTTAGTCTATAAATACCCCTGTTAAGTCCCCTCCTACACCCCCCCCCCCCCCCATGCGTACCCTGAGTATGTCCCTGTAGCCCTTCTTAGTCATCTGGTGCACAAATGTCTCTCCGAACTTGTACATGAGTTCGTCCCGACTCAAGTCAAGAATCTCACTGGCTGCTTTGCAGATCCTGTGCATGTATGTCTCACTGTACGCCTAACAAAAACCAAACTTTTGGATCATTACTTTTGGATCAAACTTTTTTGGATAATTACGAGGCAAAGTTGTGCACTGAATAGGCGCACAAATTTTATGTCTGAATTTTCCTGCTAATTAGGACTCAATTTGAGGCAATGATTAATATATTGAATGGGCAAGCGAAGAAAGTGTCCGATTTCTAGCTACCCTTTACCTTCTAACTTACCTTTACCTTTTGGTAAGAAAACTCATTACTTATTCAATGAATTTTACGGACGAATAAACTAGTTTCATTTCAAACGAGAATGAGCCAAATTGACTCGCATTTGACATAGCCCTGCAGCGACAAGAGAGGATAAAATTGATTAAATTGGATTTTGTACAGCAATTACTTTGGTATAAAATCTATTTATCGGTAACCCATTTGCCTGCATCAATCGATTCTAGAGACATAAATTATGAGATACGTGTTCACCAAAAACAAAGGATTTCCGTTAGTGCCTAGTTATTTTATTTTCATGGTAATGCTAAATCAAATTATTCAGACAAAATGAACATAATTTAAATTTCAAACTCGTTTCTCTCAAAGTGGGCACAGATTAGACAAAATATGAAGGGAACAAAAATTGTTTAGAATTTTTGAAAAAGGTCATTATGTTTTTTTTCAATTCATCAAAAATTACTCTGAAACTAACAAATTAATTGATGAAAAATTTATATCAAAAAAGCATCTTACCCAGCCCAACAAAGTTCTAGAGGGGTATAACTTCCAAAAATTTGTTTGAAAGAATATATTTTTGATTGGCAGCTAAAAAGTTTTTGAAAGGTCTACACAACTAGAAATTTTTTTCGGCGGAGTAAGAGGCTTTTTTATATATAACATTCTCACCAATTAACTTGGTAATTTCAGGAAAAACTTGATTGATAAAAAAAACTCGACGTGACTCATTTTGTGGTAGATTTTAGTTGAAACAAGCACACCATATTAATTCTGCTGAAAATCTAAGCAACTTTTATTCTTTTCATTTTTTGTCAAACCCTAATCGAATTTGATAAAAAAAAAACGTTTAAAAATTCAAATTTTGTTGGTGTCCGGTTAATATATTTCAGCAGTTTATAAAATATGTGTTAAATCTGTATATAAAATGCACACTATCTCTAAAATAAAATGTATTGTATAATTAGTATAAATGCAAAAAAATTAGTTGTAGGCCTCAAAAACTTTTTAAAAAATTGCTTTCGTCCACATTTTTTAGTGTTACAGTGAGCTAAATTCACTTAAAGAGAATTGTCTTCAGCTAACCATTAGTTCCAGGAGATCCTTTCAAAATTTTCTAAACACCTTTTTCATGATCAAGCTTTCCAGTGGAATTTTTCATTTGAAATTGACATCAGTTGAAAAATTCGACGTGCATCAATTATTTTTTGCTTCAAGATTCTCGCATCTTATTGGAGATACACATTATAAATAGCAAATCAAAAACCGTATATGAATTTTTAAAATCAAAGTCTCATTTTATTATAACCAAATGAACTACAATTGATCCAAATTCAATAAAATTTTCTGTATGAAATCAATTTTTGATCTTTTTGTCACTGCAAGTCTAGCATTGTTAGAAGACAGACGCTCTGTAAATTTGAATTTTTGATTTTTCTATTGTCTACAACTGATCAACAAAAAACGCTCAAATTATATGGGTCTATTAGTATTTTATGAGTTTTTTATATGTTTTTCTTCAAGTGGTTTTATTTTTGCAAACGGAACAGCTGAGTGAATGCCTTGCTTGCATCTGGAAAAATTGAAAATCTAAATCTGAATATACATTTTTAAACTCGAAATGTTTTGAAAAAAAAAACTCTGACAATAGAAAAGCTTTTGATTTGAACTCAAGGCACCGGACCAAAACATTGTAACACACTGAATTAACGCGCTTTTGGAGAGTAATCAGAAACTAAACTACGACAAGAATAACAGCTGAACTGAGATGATACAAGCTTTCCAAAACAAACTTAGAGTGCAACCTGAGAAACCCGGACGCCCCCCCCCCCCCCCCCCCTCAGGGATTCGACCTTCTGCCGACCCAAAGGGTCCCCCCTTTGATACTTTTTCAGAAATCCATTTTTGGCCAACCGACCCTTAAATTTTTCTAAAAGCGCTTTTGGCGCCAATATATACTATCTTTGTGGGGGAGCGCGCGCCAAAAAAAAACGCCATATTTTTGTCAAAATTTCAAAATTTTTCAAAAAGTGCCCAAAAACGGTTTTGCCAAAATAGGGGCAAAACAGCGCTCTGGCAGAGCTCGAAAAATCAATTTGATCGACCTAAAAAAAAATTTTTTGAAAATCCGCCCTCCCCCATCGAGAAAATCCTAGATCCGCCCTGGCTGCAGCTAAAGTGTTTTTGATGACATAGCTATAAAATTAAGGCCACCAAAAATAAGTTCTTTAAATTTTTCAGACAAAATAATGCGATAATCATTAAGTTTCCTCAATTGAAGTTTCCTGAAATTAAGCCATCTAAACTTGAGCTCGCTTCAATTGTAAAATGCAAAAATGAGCTGCCGAATAGTAAAAAAAATACTGAAGAACTCTTTCAATTTTAGCTGCGTGAATTGAGCTTCTTTCAATTTAGCTTTTTACAATTGAGCTACTTCAAATTGAGCTCCCAGTTTAAACATTACGAGGCCAAGCTGTGCACTGGATAGGCCCACAATTTTGTGTCTGTAGGTCCCTGGAGTCTTCAAACATGGTCAAAGTGAATATAAATCCACATACAAATTTTCAGTGGGTTCCGCGCACAAATATTTGTAAGGTAAATTTTGTCGGCACAGTAGTTTTGTTGCGGATTCAGCAACGAGCGAATACAACTTGTTGTTCAGGATTCCGCAAAGGTAAGTGGATTACGCGAATTCATGCGGAGTTCGCCTAGAACTTGCTAATTCCGCCTAAAATTCTCGGATTCCACGACACCACGATTCCACAAGCTGTTCCTGATTTCGCAAATTTTGTGGCGGGTTCCACAAATTTGGTTGCGGATTCCGCAAAATTGCCTGGTTTTGGATCAATTTTGAGCTAGACAGTGTTTTAGCTATTTTTCCGTTGAATCCAAAACAGCAATACAGATAACAAAAACAGCAATGTTGCGGATTCCGCGACAACTTTGTTGTCAATTTGTTGCGAATTTCGTCTACAATTCACAAAAGATACAGTTTGGTATCGAGTTCTGTAAAAATAAAATTGAGCTCTATAGTTAAGTGTTAACTCAAATCAGATCTCTTCTAAATTTGATTTTGAACAGCACTTTCCGGATCAGTTTTCTCTAATCTTGTTTTGGCAATCAAATTACGACTAAAAAAATCAAATAATATTAATTTGATACCACAATTAAAATTTATCAGGTTTTTCCTTGTAGTGTCTAAGGTCAAAAAAGTTTGCAGATAAAAATAACTGGTTCAATAAACTGTACTTGGAGTAAAAATTTTGCAAGAGTTTTTCGAGCGAGTGAAAGCCACGCAAAAATTGTGCCTGTTTCTTCTGAACTGAAAAAATTAGAATGCAATATCCTGCCTAGTTTTTACTACATAGATAGTCAAAAAATTTTACTTTTCTGACTCCAAAAAAAACATATTGCAAAACTTTGCTTTTTTGCATAGGAATTTGCTTTTTGCTATTCTGCAAAGTTTATTTTTTGCACAAGAGTTCAATTTAGCAAGAATCTTGCGAGAAAAAAAGCTAATTGTGTTAAGCCGTCAAAAGATTTCTTTTGTTCGATCTTGCTAGATTTTGCACGTCCAGGTTACTAATAAGCACTGAGGTTATCTTATGTAAATTTTTCTCTTTGTAGGTGAAATTTAAGATACGAAAGATACAATTAGAAGAACGTTTTAGCGATTTACAAAAAAAACAGTTTATAAAAAACGGCACTTCGACCATAAATTTTCGCAAAAGATAGAACCAACAAACGAGCTGCTCATCCTCAACGGAGGAATTTCATTGTGACCTTTTTACAGTACTACATACATTTTCTGGAGATCTTTCTGACTTGTGTAAGGTTGTTTCACCATCAAACATAAATTTTGTTATAACAATTTTGATCCGTGTTCGCAGCTTGAGGGTAAGAAAATTTCAACAAAATTTTACCCAGCCCAAAAAACATTCAAAAGCAAAATACAGCAGTTTTTAAAGAAAGGGGTTTCTGTGATTCTCCGCAAAGAGCTGCGAACAGCTCGTTTGTTGACCTTTTGACCTTTACCCTCTTAGATAAATGGCTTTTATTCAACCAACAAATGTTGTAACATTTTGTATGAGACATATGTGAGCTGACCTGATGATTGACGAACTGTAGCTGCGTGACCTCTGCCCTCTGTTTGATCTCATCCCACTGCGACTGCCCATAGTTCATCCGAATCACCTCGGCCACATTCTCCAGCAGAAGGCCATACATGACCACTCAAATGGCCACTCAATCAAATACTTACTTCAATCTATGGTCATATGTTACAGTAGGTGACAAGCTCTGCTCGGAAACATATATCTGCCATATTCCATTTTGATGTTGAAACTCATTTTAAAAAAATATTTTCAGGTGTCTACAATGTTAATCTGGAAGTTATCAATCATACCAATCGCCAAATTTTTTTGAGGTCTTATAACATTCTTATTTGCTGTGGTTTCCGTGAGTTATCAACTATTGTAACATAATAACAAATCAATAATAATCAAAGACACAATGTGAGTTTTCAATCAAAATTTTCTGACCGTTTTTTTTGCTATTACTCTCAAGGTTTGAATCTGTAGTTTTTGCAATACAAAATCAAAACGTTTTTTTATTGTTGTTGATGTTTAAAAATAATCTTTAAGAATATGTAATTTAAAGACTCAAATTACGATAGCAATTGACAGCCGAATGAATGTAAATTTGGCAAAACACTTTTGACTGATGCAGAAAAATTCGGATATATCAAGTTTTTGCCATGAAACAAAAAAATCATGAAATCTAATATTGTTTTGCGTGTGTTTCATTATTGAAATCTGCGATCTGCAACAAAAACTTTCCATTGGATGTCGAAACTTGATATTTTTTTGATCTTTGTATTGTGATGTTGACAATCAAGGGATGCAAAAAAAGAAGTAACTATTGTTTCATTTGGTTATTCTGATGTGTATTGTAACTAGATTCAGTTTATTGTTCCGACTTTCGAATACAGCGCGATATATTTATGCTTGGAGTGTTTTTTTAATCAATCAGTTAAGGACTAAGCGTTTTTGACAAAAAATTTTATACCATCTGAAAGATATTGTGTAATGGATAAAAACGCAAGAAAATATTAGAAATTTAGAAAGAAAAATCTTTTATGTGTAACAATTTTTCGTAAAACTAAAAAGGTTAAAAAATTGCTTATAGGGCCAATTTAGGATAATTAGCACGCAAAACATTGTTTTCTTATAACATGCGCAAGATTCTAAAGTCTTATGTTGTTATTTTTGCATTTTGAATTTGGTCTAAAGTAGAAAGTAGATATTGGTCTTAAAAAAATGAACAACAAAAAGCAAAAGTACTCCGTCATTTTGTTCAAAAATTGATTTAAAAATGTTTGTTTCTTATATTGCAAGTTCCATTTGATTTAGACAGTTTTTGACTTGAAATAATGAAAAAGTTTTTAATCTCTCATATATGTTCAATTTCAAATCAGTTGCCTCATTTTTTTGTTGTTGCGATTTTCGAAGAAAGTGATGGAAAATTGGTGCTCGGGGTAGTTTTTTCTTCAGAAAATTTTTTACTTTTTAACTAGTCATTTTGCTCAATTTTTTTGTATATCATTCAAAAGGTATTGTTGTCCTGAGCTTAAATTTGAAAAGATATTTTACCTGTGATCATTTTTTGTAAAATTATGGAGGTTATATTAACGCGCGATATATTACGCGCTATTAACGCGTGAGCGGAAATTCAATCATAGTTTTAACATAGTAAACCACTTCAACCTGAAAATTTCTAAGGGCCGCAAGCAGATTTTAAATACAGATTGCCAAAATTGCCGTTTGTTGAGCTCACTTTTTGACGGTGTTGTTAAAACATTTTTTGGTTGCGCTCCGTTTAAATTTTTGTGCACATATGAGCTAGTTTCATAGTTTTTGAGCTAAAAAGTTTTGTATGAATAAATTTTCTAACTTTTTCATACAAATTGTTCTGGGATGACCGAATTGATTCTCTGAAAAAAATTACGAAAGTGTGAAGTGTTTGAGTTGCAAGGAAGTTAGGGGTCTCTTTTTGCGCCATTTTACTCTTAAGTACCCATAAATCCACTATGGGACAAATCATTTACTTCTTCTAAGCAATCAAATTAAATTTTTTGCAAGTTTCGGGTTTTTTTTTCTTTTCGGTTAACCCAACTCACTCCGCATCTAAATGATGGAAAGATGAAATCAAATTTTTTATAGCAAAATTGAATCGATACTACTAAGAAGTGGTGACTATCAATATGGTGCAGGCCGAGACAAAGTACTCTTATCTAATTTAGCCTTTTTCCTATTTTTACTGACGTTTTCTCATAGCCTATTTAAGTTTGAGTTCAAAAGCGTTCTGAATTGCCATTTTATACCCAATTTTGCAGATGTCCGAGCTATTAGGGCATTTTTCCGAGCAATTGAAAATGCAGATTTTCATCAGTTAGAGGGGATAATCGAAAATAACCCAAGCTTCAGCCTGCGAAGTGGAATATGCAAAAAGAGTCTGACTCAAATCTAGTCGAGCTATTCGTCGGCGCTGTCGAAAACCAAAGTAGTTGAAAGGCCCTTTCGCAGACTTATGCAGTAGCTAACTCAAAATTCAATTACTGCAGCTCGACTTGATCAGCTCATTGACTAAATAGTACATAAAATTTGTCTTGCTGAAGTTACTTACTCTATAATTGTGTACATTTTTTATTGTAATTTTCAGTTTCAATTTCTTTGGTGCGTTTTAATGAATAACACCAAACATGAAAATTGATGAAAATATTTTTGGACAGGACTTTGAGCTTATAGCAGAAAGCGAAACTGGATGGAATTACGAAAACAAATTTAGCAATTATTTGCAACAATTGGATTTCTTGGAAGATATCATTTTTCAAGCTTCCAGAGTAAATACAAACACTGTCGTAAATACAAACACTGCCGAGACTAAATTGTCAGACGAAGTTGACGACCTCAAAACTCCTGATAGATCGTTCTGCGCTCAAATTAATTTCTGTGACGAGATTAAAAATTATACAAAAACGACAAACTTTACCCTGCTTCAAATCAACTCATCCAGTTTCGAAAACGATATCGAATTGTTCCTGGGAACCGGTAAAACTTTTGCCGAGAAAGTTCGAGCAACGAATCCCGAATTGGTTCTCTCAGTTCTCGGCTGTCGAGATGGAGCAGTCGTAATGCAAGACGACGTGCATGCTTCTCGCTTCAAAAGCGGGTTCAATTTGGCGGCAACTTCTATCAACTCTTTGATCTTGACGAGCGGGGGGAGGGGAGGGGTGGACGGGTTTGCGTGTGAACAATTACGTGATCAGTTGTTGATGCAGTACGTGGGTTCAAGAGAACACAGGTGTACTTTAGCTGGGGTTTGTGATTTGCAAGATGTTGATCAAGGTCGCCGTATTCAAGATTGGGCGCTGGTAAGTCTTTAACTGATCTACTATTTTTCTCATATTTGATAATTAGGATTCATTGTTACGTAATTATTGATCCGACCACAAACTTTTTGTCGGAATTTTGAGTTCGATTGTGTATTACTTTTGTTAATTTTTTTCACTCAAATCATTTGATATCGAAGCTAAACGTCAGATGGGGTCAAATGATTTATTGGCGAACAAAAATGAACAAACGATTTAATTTCTTTGTTCCAAATTTCGACGATAGTGTCGGAATATTTAAGCTTGTGGTGATTTTTTTATTCAGCCAAATTATGGTTTTTTTAGCTAAATTTGTCTGAAAGATATCGGTGCTGGGAGCTCAAATGTAGAAAAAAAATACCCGTGATTGTTTCTTGTAAACTTATGAGGGATTGAAAAAGGCCAATTTGGTCGATTTGGGAAAAATAACGTTGTTTTGTTGTTGTTGTTGTTGTTGTTGTTGCTGTTGTTGTTGTTGTTGTTGTTGTTGTTGTTGTTGTTGTTGTTGTTGTTGTTGTTGTTGTTGTTGTTGTTGTTGTTGTTGTTGTTGTTGTTGTTGTTGTTGTTGTTGTTGTTGTTGTTGTTGTTGTTGTTGTTGTTGTTGTTGTTGTTGTTGTTGTTGTTGTTGTTGTTGTTGTTGTTGTTGTTGTTGTTGTTGTTGTTCTTGTTCTTGTTGTTGATGTTGCTTTTGTTGTGGTGTTGTTGTTGTTGTTGTTGTTGCTGCTGCTGCTGCTGCTGCTGCTGTTGTTGTTGTTGTTGTTGTTGTTGTTGTTGTTGTTGTTGTTGTTGTTGTTGTTGTTGGTGGTGTTGTTGATGCTGCTGTTGTAGTGTGTTGTTGTTGTTGTTGATGCTGAGAACTTTTAGCTTTGAACTGATGGGAATTGGTCGCTTTTCAATTCTTTTAACAATTGTGCATTTTTTTCTGCACCGTTGGCAGTCGCGCTCATTTTGCCTTTAGCAGATGTTGTTTACAGTGTAATGTTGTCCGTTCATATCTTTCCATATCACTTTTGAGATTTCAATTTGGATTCAAGTCATGTTGTTGAAGTCGACATGTTTGTCTATTTGGTTTTCACATTGGCGATTTTGAAAAACAACTTTCGTTCTCAGATTCGATTGTGGGTACTGCTATAGATATAGGAGCACATGTCTTTCATGTTCGTGAGAGAATAAGAAGATCTGTTAATTGCGGTATTCTTTAGTACACTTGTTTATTATTTATTGCCTTCTTGTTGCATTCTTGTTGCATTATTGCATAATTGCGTTATTGCTCTTCTTAAAACACGCATCAGGGTCCATACTAAAATGAGGCTGACCACTTTTGTTAAACTATTATAATATGAAGCGTTAAATTCTTGCTTTGTAGCTTGCAAAAAGTGTAGATGGATAAAATGAAGAAAAAGTGTTTTATGTCAGTTTTTCAACAAGTTTTTTTTTTAAATGGCCTCAAAGAGTAGTTGAAATTTTCAGGCGAACCCTGACTTGTTTGAGCAGTCCTGTTTAGTTTTTAAATCCACAGTGAACTAGCTTACCTAGAAAACGCAGAAACACCTGTTTGCGAAAATGTTGTACGAAAAGTATAACTTGCCCTTATTACAAAACTTTTGAATCAGTTTCAATTTTCTGGGTCAATAAGTATTCTTAACTCAATTTTTGAACTGTCGAAAGATTTTTTTAGGATCATAATGATTTTCAGTACTTTTGAATACCTATGTTTTTTTAATACTTATGAAATGAATTCCTGAAAATGGTTAAAGCGTAAACATAACTGCTTGTAACAAGCTGAAATGAATTTTTTTTACGTCGATCAGTAGTTTTTGATTGAATTGTTTGTTTTCAAAAAAATGTCTCGAAAATATTATTTTGATTTAAAAGAATTTGGGAAAAAATTACAATGAACACAATGAACACAAGCTGATTTGTACTAGCAAAACAAGACATTACCTGCTACTGTTTTTTTTGCATTGCGGGAGCTTACGAAGAGACTGAAGCTATCCTGCGTGGTTTTGCTGCTTTGCAATAGCTGATGCAGATTTTTTTGAAACCGCAACTGGCAAACAGTTTTTTCAGAGTGTTTCTAGTTATTTTAGTACCATATGGCCGGCTGGACTGTTTTTCATTTGTCCATAGGATGTTTCGGATCAAATTAACATCCTCCTTCCCCCTCCAGCAAGACCAAGTTAAGATCTTTCACCCCAATCATTTAATTCAGAATAAATTTGCGCGATGAATTCTATGTGAAATGCTCAATTATAATTGGCTGAAAATTGCTAATTAGAACCAAGTTAACATCCTCCCCCCAAGCGGCTTTGGGGGGGGGGGGGGTTGTTAACTTGGTCCGATATTTCTTGTTTTAGGATTGTGCAATTCAATCTACCGACGAAGGTCCAGTTTTCAATTACAACTCAGTTAAAAGCAACGCCGCCTCCAGCAATTCACGGCAAATATGTTTGAATTCTCTTCTTGACGAGCTAATTGTTCTATCACATGGCAATCCAGATCAAAAAAGTTACAAAAAACAGCCTGAAAATCTGTCGGACAAATTCCGTTTCGAGCTAGAAAAACACTTGCATCAAAAATGCCCAGTTGTTTATGTTTTAATAGGAGGAGAAACCGAAATTTTGCAACGGGCTAAAATGGCGCTGGATGAAAGTATGCCTCTGGTTTTGTGCACGGATACGGGCGGAATTAGTGACGTCATTTCTTCAGCGCTGAAATCTTCAGCTAAAACTTGGCAGCGACACAAAATCTTCACCAATTATCACTCACGAAGACTTGAAGCGCAAATTCGAACTCTCATTTCTCGAGAAACTAAAGCATCAGAACTCAAAAATGATGATCAGATAAAAGAGTTAGTTGATGTATGTTTAGAAAACCTAATCGCGATTTGCAAGAAAAGACCTTTGGTTGTACAGTGGAATTTTCATTACCAAGATTCGAAACTGGAAACTTCCATTCTCAAAGCTATTTTTTCGAGTACCGAACATAGAAAAAATAAATTGAATTTAGCTTTAAGTTGGAACCAGTGCGATGACAACGTCAAGACCATCGTCGACTCGTACGAATCAGTTCTTGAAATCAAAGGAATAAGAAATCTGATTTTTGATGCGATCAATTGTGAAAAACTGGAGTTTGTCCAACTTTTTCTGGACCACGGTTTAATCATGCCGCGTTTCTTAAAACCAAGTATTCTACATGCGCTGTACCAAAAGTCGATCAAACAGTTTCGACCATTTGAGCGTTTGATGAAAAGAGCTTGCGGCTCGAACAAAACGAGTTACAATCTTGACGATATATACCATGCTGTCGAGTTTTATACTTCTGCCAAGCCACGAGATGCTGCGTTCAGAAAGCCGAGTTCTCATTCAGACAATTCTTATCCAAAAACTAACAAAACAAGTATTTCAGAGCAGAACGCCTGTTTTCAGAACCCGTTTCGTGAACTGGCGCTTTGGGCCGTTTTTTCGAACAAACCAAACTCAGTCAAGTTTTACTGGCAAAAGAGCGAAAATCTTCTTGTATTTTGTCTCGTTATTTCCGAGCTCTGGAAAGCCTTGTCTTCCGTTTTATCGCTGGAGCTTAAAGAGCTGGAACAAAATATGCTCGAGAATGAACGTGCATACAACAAAATAGCGCTCGAGATTCTTAACGAGTGTTGGCATGAAAACAAGCAACTATGTCAAAATTTACTGGAACTAAAAGACGACACGGTCGGGAATCGAACCCCAGTCGACATTGCGGGGTACTGCGAAGCGAAGCAGTTCATAGCAGCGCCTAGCGTGCAGTTTATAATAGACGAGCAATGGAAAAACGGAATGCAAGGAAGTTCTTGGAGTATTTTGTCTACATTAGCGCTGCCGTTTCGAATGAAATATTTGAAGTTATCAAATAATTATCATGATCTCGATAAAGAGTTTCACTCGGACAAACTACTTGATTTGGACCGACTTGAAAACACAATATGTATGGCCAACCAAGATTCGCCAGCTGATCAATTTAATTTCTTGGACACTGAGGATGAAACGAATTTTGACAAATCTGAATTGAAAGAAAAAACCGAAACGAATTCGACTGAAGTTGACCTTTTTATGGTTAAAGCGCAAACATTATGGAGTGCTCCGATTACAAAATTTGTGACGCATTCGATTGCCTACTTGTTATTCCTGTTTCTTTCGTCCAAAATCTATATAGTAAGCAAAAAAAGTAGTAGTAAGCAAAAGTAGAACTCAAAGCAATCTTGACATGTTTTGACGAGAAAATTGTTAAGTTGATAGGAAATTTGTTATTATCTGACAGATAATTTTATACAATGAAGCTACAAAACAATTTTTTTCTCAAACTTTTTGGAAGCAATCCTCAGAAAAAAAAGAAACATGCTTGATAAAAAATTCCGATGAGGAAGCTCAAACGCCTCGAAATGAACTTCTAACTTGAGTAAGCTTAAAAACAATGCTTTGTCACTTGTTCAGAAAATATAACTTTTTGAAATTGCTGTTATTTCTTTTTCAGAGAATCGAAGACGTCGGAAATGATCAAGGTGCCTGGATCCAGTTCTGCTTCATGCTTTGCTACGCCTTGGAGATCTTCCGACAACTGTTGACGGAAGACGCTTCCTGGAACCTCAAGGTCAAACTATGGACCAAATCCGAATGGAACATAGTGGACTTGAGTTACCTTTCTCTCGGCATCTTCGCCTTCATTTCTAACTTCGTGCCTGGAACTTTTGATGTGGTCAAAGGCGTGTACAGCTTGGTCATTTTCCTTATGTGGCTCAGACTGTTGAGACTATACCAGTGTAATCCCAGGTAATCTTATAAAAAAAGGTTGTAATTACATTTTAAGTGTTGACAAAAAAAAACAGATTAAAACATTGGAAACAATTTAAATAATTCAGTTGTGAGTGTGTGTGTGTGTGTGTGTGTGTGTGTGTGTGTGTGTGTGTGAATTAATAATTCAGTCGTGAGTGTGTGTGTGTGTGAATGGTGTGTGTGTGTGTATGTGTGTGTGTGTGTGTGTGTGAGTGTGTGGTGTGAGTTGGGTTTGAGTGTGTGCGACCTCTGATTGTAGCGACTACAAGACCACTTTTTGCATTTTTTTAGAACCCCTAATTTTATATTTCGTCTTGATGGAATGATTCTTTTTTTTATCTCGCTAAATTTTTGGCTTGCTGTTCTACCTTTCGAAGCAAATCAGGAATATATATGCTCGGGGTGGTTTGTTCTTATTATTCAGATCAATTCTCAAAAATATTTCCCTTGAGGGATCTTTCCATGGATCTTCGCGTTCACTTCTAGTTATCCTGGCTTAACGATTGCTGTGAAACTTTCTCAAGTAGATTTGCGTGACTATAAGAGCGCTGTGATACTTTGATGCTGAAAGCTTAATGCGCATTATTTACGCGTGGCAAATTACTCAGCGCCACAAAATCGGGCTCTTTTCCAGTTCCCCCTTTTGTTGTGTTTTTCTGAAATTCAAAATATGAAAGTCTTTTTAAAATGAATTTTCATGTCGCAAATTGCAATGAAACGTGTCAGCGTGAACAACTGAATAAATTTTCACAACAATTCTTACATGCAAAAAGCCGTGTGAACAATTTCAAACAGCTTTATTTTGTTGTTTTACTAGGGGGAGGGAAACTGGAAAAAAGCCCAAAATCGTTCCACATTTAATTGAGGCAGTTTAATTGGTATACTAATTCCAATCAAAATTCTTAATTTTCAGCTTAAAGTTCATAGTTTGTCAATATTTCATTAATCAAAATTGTTCGAGACCAGTTTATGGACATTCGAGTCGGAACATTCATGGAGTTGCCCTGATTTGAGCAGTCTTGTTAATATATCTACAGCAATGATTGTGCCCAGGTAGTCATCTGCAGCAAATTTTTTAGAAATGGTTGAACAAAATTGATCAAAAAATTTGTTTAGACATAAACTCAGATTGCGACATTTATTTGCTGCATATTATGAGTGTAAGTAAGCCAGCCGAAGTAAAGGCCAACACAACATACAGAGAGCTTATAAACCAGCCGAAAACTTACGTCATTAGAATATCAATTGGAATGAAATCATACGAAATATTTAAGATCATTTATCCACGAGGGATAGGACCAACATACGAGCTGTACAGCTCATCACGGCGAACCGCTGTTGTGCCCCTGCTTAAGAACTACATGCAATTTTTTTTTTGGTTATTTTTCTGGGCTGGGCACCCTCAAGCAACGAGCACGGATCATGGTGGGCCTCGTACATCCGACCTTTCGATTGAGAGGCGGAGACGTTAACCACTTCACCACTGCTCCCCTCGTGGAATTAAACTTGAATAACTTTCGTAACTGTTACATGATTGGTGCCCAACTATTTTATAAAACTTACCTATTAGGCTGATTGTTTGTTCAGCTGGTTTATATACCACCTAAGTTTGCAAGATTTTTGCAACTGTTACATAATTACTTTATATCTATTGCATAATAGTTAATAGTTTTTGGCTGGTTCACATAGCAGCTGATTTATTTTTCGGCTGGCTTATACACCACCCATATTATTGATATTATTGCTTGACATTTATCTCTGAAGATTAATAAAAAGGGCTGTAGATTGTCATTAACTGATTTCTGATGGTAAATAGCAATTTTTTTGATTGGGTTATTAAAATTTAATATGCATGGTCATTTTTTAACTCGCTTTTTGTTAAAGACACTCTATCAACGAATTGAAGTTTGTTGAAGATTTGCGGGAATTGCGACAATTATTAAACGTCAGATTAGTTTTTGTTTTTTGTTCCAATGATTCATCGATCGTTTTGGACAATGAGTTATTGTTTTCCTATCAAAACCAATAACTGTTTGATTTTATCAATTAGTTCATTTTAGTCTACTTTTTTCTGAACAAAAATCCAGGCAACTAGAAACTAGACAATGATAATTGTTTGAGGGACATAGCGTTTGCTGGAGGCAAAATTCAAAAATTTTGCAAAAAGAGGAAATCATTCTCGGGGAAGCAAATACAAAACAGCCTAATTAGTCGTTGCATCAGGGCAGTCAAATGTACCTATTTGGCCTAACAAATAGCATAGTTTTGGGATAACTACCTCAATGAAGCAACGACAAAGAGTGATTTTAAATCTTATCCAGAAAGAGTGTCAACCAGCCTAACATTATTTAAATCTAATATCCCGGGTTGACGTCCATAGAAGAAAAATGCTTATCATACAGTTTCATATATGAAGTCTATGGAAAAATGCTTATCATAGAGATTCATAAAAAATTTAAAAAGTGTTTAAAAGTTGTTAATGAACATTTTTGGTCTAATTGCCTCTTTTGAAGCTTATTGGTCATTAAAAAACGATTTAAAATTTTTTATAAGAAATGCTTATCATACAATTTTCATGTATGAAAATTATAAAATAGTCATTTTGTCATAGAATAAATTTTCAAAAATCACCAAAAAACGTGCCTGGGTAACTTTAAATAGATTTACATTAGTATATCTATGATAGAGGGCATATTGACAATCAAAAACATAATTTTAATTTCGGTCAGAAAAATGCTTATCATAAAGTTTTCATATATGAAAACAGTATGATATGCATTTTTTTCATGACCAAAAAAAATTTGAGGTAAAAATTTTTAATCCCTTTTTTGGCTGCAAGTTTGCTTTTGTGCTAAAATATAAATTTTACGAAAAAAAAATTGCATGCAAAATTTGACATTTTTGTGTTTATAACGTAGTCCAGGATCAGTTTCTCACCCAAAAAACCCAAAAATCACATGAAAATGTTTTTTTTGTAAACACGATTATTATCTTTTGTTTCATTTGCTGAAATAAAAATAAATTTGTAAAAAAAACAGGTCTGTTTTTTCTCATCCATCATAATTTTCAAGCTAAAAATTATCTAGCCATTTTCAAAAAGTTACTTTTTTGGTGTATATTTCTATGTGAAAATGTTGAAAGTAAATTTTATGGCTAAAACCACCAAATGCAGTTTATCTGCGTGGTAACTGCCAGTTACTCTCTGGGTTTTTTCATGACAAAAAATCCTTGGTTAGTGTTTCGGTTGAAACACGAAATTTCGAAACAAAAAGTTTTTGAATATTCATATATGGAAAAAATGTATATCATACAATTTCAATATCATACATATGGAAAAAATGCTTATTTGGCTATTTTCATATATATACTTTTACTCTATGAAATTGTATGAAAGAGTATAATAGGCATTTTTTTCATATAAGAAAAATGTATGATAACCATTTTTTGTCGACCCGGGATGTTATTTTTCTTAAAAATTGCAGTTTGGTCTGAGAACGTATCAATTGTGTCTGTTAAAAATTAATTTGACATTCAAAAATGAGTTTCAAAAATTTGGAAATTCAAAATTTTGTATTGAAAACAATTTCATGGCTTCTGTGATGAAATAAAAAAAATCAAGCCATTTCAATTACATTGCGTCTTTTTTTTCTGATTATCAAATCAAAACTAGCATCCATCAGATGGTCAGATATAATCTTAAACTCTCTCGTGAAATCTTGAATCTTGTTTCTTTTCATGTTCTACATATTTTTGTTGATTGTATATTTTTGTATTTATAGCAATAGTTTTGTGCCATTATTGTATCATTTTAGATGTGGACCCATATGGTGCATGATTCGAAGGATGCTGGTTCATACAGCCATCCTGTTTGCTTCATTCTTCTCAGTCATAATTATTGGCAGTGGCCTTGCTATGGCTCTTTTCAGTATAGACGCTGTAGGCGAGGGTGATTACACTTCATACCAGTGGATTTTTCTAAGACCATACCTGATGATTTTTGGAGAACATTTCATCGAAAATGTCAGCCAAGGCAGAAATGCGAAACTCACTACAATTTTCATCGTCGTATTTTCCTTCGTAGTGAATGCTTTGTTACTCAATTTACTAATCGCTGTTTATGGCTCAATTTACTACGAAATCAAGGAAAATTCGAAACTTGAATGGATGACAGAAAAGTTCTGGGTACTTGTCGACTACCAAAAGAAAACGTTGATTCCCCCACCCTTGGGAATTTTCGAAACTACCTTCAAATTAGTCCAGTTTTTAATGAGTAAACGGAAAAGAAATGAGAAACAACATTATTCCACGGAACTTCGCAATTTACGAAAGTTCGAGAATTTTTGTACTAAGAAAGCGTTGAAGAAGTTGCAAAATATGGAGTCGAAAACTGAACAAAAACTGGAACAGTTAATAAAAATAGAAAAAAATCAGAGTAACCAAATTACAGAATGCACTACACTGCTGCAAGAATGCAGACTAACTTTAGAAGAAAAGCGACGTGAAAATCTGGAACAAGAGATGAACTTGAAGCAAATTAAGAGCTCAATTTTGACAACACAGGCAGCAAATAAGTTCCAGAGCAAGTTGAAGTCAAAAAAATTTGCAAAGCAGGATGAAAGTCCGCCTATATAAAAGTAGAGCAACCAAATTAAGTATAATCTTCATAATCTCAGATTTTGTAAATTTTGAATGCACTAGTTTCTCAAAAAGCAAACAATATTTCAAGTCTTTTTTTATTATAGTAGTGATGATGATTTCCTGCGATCCCCAGGGGCAGACCATCATGACCTTATCTTTATAAAGACCCCTTTTTGACCAAACTTTCTGCGCAGCAGGCAAATTTGTGAAAAAAAAACATGCCAAAAAAGGCAATTTGAATTCTTTTTTGAAAAATTTTGACAAAAAAGCTTGATTTGAATCCGCTGGTAGTTTTGAGGACCCCATGATGCATCCTCCCTTTTGAGGGCGAAGCAACACTTTCGCCCAGAAAAAGAAGCCAAAATAGTTTTCTGGACCCAACCAACCCTTCAAAAAAAAATTTTGTTTATTTGTTTCCACGCCACCTTTGGTTTTACTTCAGACCATCTATCCGTGAAGGACCAAACTACGAGCTGTACAGCTCATCATGGCAACCCGCTCTTGTGCCCCTGTTTGAAAACTACATTCAATTTTTTTGCCCATTTTTCAGCGTGGGTTAATGTTGTCTCACCCTCAAGCAACGAGCATGGATCATGGTGGGCTTCGAGCATCCAACCTTTCGATTGAAAGGGAGAGACGTAACAACTTCACCACCGCTCATATTGTTTTACGAATCATTTTTATCAGTTTTTGTACTGGTTTCAAAGTATGATCCCGTAAATAACCTCGAATAGAAGTGTAATTCAACCAAAGATACTTTTAAATTAACGTAAGTATATAAGAATAAAATCAAACTCTAAACGGTTATCAGGCCATTGTTTTTCCGGAAAATACTTGAATTTGGTCAAAGCAAGGTTGCAAATAAGACAATTTGATGCGCCTAATTTCATTGTTTATTTTACGCTAAAAACATAATGCTGTAATTCTGAAATTTTCTCAAAACCGCAGGATTCCTTATTTAGGTTGTTTGTGTCTTTCATTTTTTGAAAAATCATCAGAAATTTGAGTTAAGTTGCTTATAATTTTTTGAAATCTACTTAGTATTAAATTAGAAGTATGCTCTCGAAAAACCACTTGCATACCTTAATCAAGGTATACAAGTGGTTTTTGAGACCATACTTCTAATTTAAAACTCAGTTTTTATAACAAAAATTAAAAAATTATTATGGCCATTGTCCTAAACCTTTATTTGATTTTTCTATTACCAAAGGCTTAAGTATATTGAGACAATTTTATCTCAATCGGTTCCATTTAGTGCTCTGAAACAGCTAAAAAAAACTGTTTGATCGTGCGGCAAATCAAACAGACGAAGTTTTAGAAAACTCTCGGTGGAATCTGCATCTGGTTTGACCAATAGACAAACAGTTTAAAATGTTATACAAAAAATGTTTTTTCTTTGAGAAAATTTCAGATCTATTCAGTGCTGATTAAATTTATTGTGACAAAATGAATAAAACGTGAATTTCAAAACGCGTTTTCTCAAATGAGTTGACTTTGGACAACAAACAACAGAATTCAATCTTGCTTAAAATTTTAACAGAATTACTATAGCGCAATTTGTTTTGCAAAATTCCATCCCAAAAACTTATCCCAAAAACAATAATTTTTGGCTTCATTTAGTCAATGAAAAGTTACGCCAAAACTACATGATCGATTGTAAATAAAAAGTATACCAAAACAAGCCTCTTATGTAGCCAAACAAACTCTAAAAAAATTGTAACCTCCTAAAAGGGGCTCAAAAGGTTGAAAATGCTTTTCTTGAAACAAACTGGAGTTTTATCTAGTAGAAAAGACATTTTTCAACTATCAAACAAAAATAAATATGTTTATAAAAAGCGAAGAAAATTATACGCTTTTTAAATGTTTTTAGGCTAAGTGGCTTGCAGCAATATAATTTTGTCAGTAAATGAGCAGAAACATTTCGAGAATTTTTTGATGGACTAAACTAAGCCAAATTTTGGGATAATTTTTTGGACCAGAAGTTTGCAAAACAAATCGGACCATATTTTTTCTGTTACAATTTTAAGCAAGACTGATTATCATTGTTTTTTTTGGCTAAAATTAACCCAAATCGAGAAAATTGCTTTTAAATTTCAGTTTTTTTTTGTTTTTTCATTTTCTCCGGATAATTCGAATTAGCACTGTACTCCTGCTACCACTCAACAATATATTTCGCCAATTTATTTTCGTTTGATTGGCCTAGTCGTGTAAATTTCAAAGAAAAATGATTTACGCTGCCTTTTTCTGTTCAGCTCGTAAAATGTCGTAAAATCATTAAATCAATCAAACATTAGTTTAGAAGCTGCGTTGACCAAAATTTAAAGCCAAAATGGTAAATACATAACGTTTGGTCCGCTGTACTTCCGCCCGTTGTTAGAGTTTTCCAATGATATACTAGATTATTATACAAAGTAATTAACTAAAGTATAGTTACATTTATCGTTCCGACTTTGGTAACGAAAGAAATGGAATATTTATGCTCGAGTGGTTTTTTAAGACAAAGAGTTTTGATTTTTCATTTAAGTTTTTTTGACGGATTTTTTTTCTATCATTCAAAAAGTATTGTTGTCTTGCGCGAAAACTTGAAAAGAAATTTCACTTGACGTAATTTCTAGTCTTTGCCCTGATATACGAGCAGCCTTGTTTGTCTTCAGCATTGAAGCATGGAGTCATAATTGAGTCTCAATAGATGAATACTCACTCCATTCAGTGCTCCTGAGGAACAGTTCAAGTTGAGTTTTGTTATAATGGTTTAATTTATAACCATTTAGTTGCCAACGTACTTTTGATCATTTTGATCATTCACAATCTGATAACAATTTTTTATTGCCATGAAAGTTTTTCATCCTGCTATTTCTGGCAAAAAAGAAACAATGCAGACAGTTTTCGTGCAAAAATTAACATGAAAATGTGTAGAAGTGTTTGATGAAATTACTACGTAAGACCTAAGAGTTATATTGCAATCAAAAATATTGTTGTTTCGATCTCGTATTGAGGAAAACGCTGAGTTTTTGGACATATTTTTTGCTCGCTTTGGTGGCTTAGAATTAAAAGTTCCACCTTTAAATTTAAATTGGAAGTATTTTTAAACGTTTTCTACGACCCCCTTTTAAGTAGACAAGGATATATTTTCTTTTACTGACTCATTATTCTAGCCATTTGGTGCTTCTTAGATTGCAAAAAAAAACTGGAAAAAAATCATTTTTAAATTCAGAGCATCAAATTTTTTAAGAGGCTTATAACATAGCCAACTAGTTGGAAAACTAGTTGGAAAAGAATATTGAACGCAAGGAAACAGAAAAGAACAGACTAGTTTTTTCATAAAATTTTAACTTTTGAATTCGGAACAAAAAATAAATAGATGGCCTGAAAATTCTTGGATTTGTAGAAAAGTTTATAATGAAAAATTTTCTGTTAAAATTTTCTGTTGAGAAAATTGGGCCAATAGGTAAAACTTTAATTTCACTGGGAAATCTGATAGTTAATTTCCATTTTCGAAATTAGAAGTCGATCACGTTCAGAAGTGACCTTTACAATTAGAAGTGACCTTTACAAATTTGCTGTTCGATAAAGGAGTTTGCCTTCCTTTTAAGTCGATTAGAAGTGACCTTTACAATTTTGCTGTTCGATAAAGGAGTTTGCCTTCCTCTTAACAATAGAAATGCAGTATATTTAAAAAGAAATTAAAAATCAATTCGCGAAAAATCAAAACTGAGCGTGAACAAATTTTAAGATTTTTCCTGAAAAAAAAATCAGCAAGACCTATATAATAGTGCTCACTACGTTCAGTATTGTTGAAAATCTGTCGAAGGTTGTTTATTAGAAGTACATAATAATTTTCAGGAGTAAAATTAATCCAAGATCAAGTTTTCCACAATATTTTTCTAAGTCGAAAAAAGCGTCTTTAATACTTTCGGATAGCCTAATGATACAATTTTAATTATATCTGCGTTAGTAGTTTTTAAAAAAATTTAAATAAAAAAAAACAATTAACAATTTTGAATTCAGTTGGATTTTGGAGAGAAATGTACAACATAAGGGTTGAATACAAAAACGAAAAACAAACAACAAAAATTAAAAGCATTTTTTACAAAAATTGTTTTCCAATTGAAATTTACTGAAGCATTTACCGAAGTATGAGTATTTGCACTGCCAAAGCAAGTTAACACATGCAAAATGTTAGTTTAAATAATCAGTAAACCCATTTAAGATTATGAAGCGACCAGGATATTGAATACCCTCCCTTAAACCCAACGCTGGCATACTTGATTTTTAAATAGACATGGAGCGCATGACAAATTTACACAAAACACATTGCAAAAATGGAGGACGAAAAATCGAAAAGGGACTCAAGCTCTCTTTAATTTTATTTTGCATCAAACTCAATTAAAATTAACAAAGTATTTTTGAGTCGGTTGATTCGGATGGTGATCACGCTCTCTCGTCAGTTGTTGTTGTTGTTACTGTTGCTGTTGCTATTGATGTTTCGACGGCATCCATTGGAAGCCTGGCTAGAAATTTTACAATGAAGTTACTTGAGAACACAAAAGGTCAGTACAAATGCTGAAGCCTTCAATTTTCGAAAAACGCCTTGCATCATCTTTTGAACTTTTTCAAACGTTCTGCAACAGAGCACTTTGGCAAATAAGGATCTTTTTAAAGCTTTAGAATTCCAGGAGAAGTCAAAAATTTAATGTGGTCGATTTGAAAAAATTGACAAAAATATGAAAACAAGATGCGCCCCTTATTGAGTAAAAATCTTCCCCGCCATTTTTTTCCAACCCCTCTTTCCAATAAATCTTTGTATGATCGGATCCAAAAATCAAGTCGGCTCAAGTTAACGTCCCCCCTTCCAGATGGACCAAGTTAAGATCTTCAACTTCAGTATTTAATTCTGATTAAATTATAATATGCTCGGTTGTAATATGCGCAGAATGTAATATACGCTCCATGTAGTATGCTCCGTTCTGATTGGCTGAAAATTTACACTTAGAAGCAAGTTAAGATCCTTCCTCATAAAGTGCTTTGGGGGATGTTAATTTGGTCCGACGACAGGTATTAGGCCTTTACTTTCAACATAAATTGAAATAGGCGTGCTGGGTTCGCTATCTAAGCGCAGTTTCCCAAACTCAACAAATTACCGTGGACGTCCGTTGCCGTTGTGACTGTTTGCTCCGGAGTGGTTGTTGTCTGATGTACCATGATGGTTGGTACACTCCACCAGAGCAACTGTCTCAACTGGGGCTGGATCACTTCTCAGTAGCCATTCCAGTGCCCGTCTGGATCGAGGAATCGTATTCGTCAGGTGATCTCGGAATGTTTCCGACTGAATTAGTGCGCCACCAATTTAATTTCACATTCTCATTTTTTTGTAATTCAAAACAAACACTTATTGTTTAGCAGTATCGAAATATCTAATTTTGTTATGGTATTGATAGTAATTAAGGGTAAGTAAATTATCTAGATTTTTTATTGTTATGGCAAATTTCATATTTTTTTGTACATTTTTTCATTTTTTTTATTTTAGTCAGTTTGGCACTGGTTTAACAGGATAAGAACTCAAACTGGATCAAAACTTCACAGTTAATTAACTGCGACTTATCCTCTTCTGATACATTAAACTCTACTTTTGATTCAATAACAAAAAGGGTGTTTAGGTGAAGTTAGATTGGTGCATTGCCTGGATGGTGTACACAAATGGGTTGCAGATGTTGTTGACGTAGAACAGGAAGTAACAGAGACGCACCCAGGCCTCGGGGGAGGAGACCAATTGGGTCCAGTTGTCCCACCACGCCCACAGTTGGTTGATCAGCTGAAAGTTAAAGAGTGCCAGAGCAAAATTATAACCCAATTACCAAACTCTGAAATTTCTTAAAATTTTCCTAAAATAAAATTTTCTTAAAATAAGTCATGTTTGAGTTCGCTGATTTCGTGAATCAGAACGGCCAAATAACCACGCGAGGAGCAAAAATGATTTTACACTCCATAAAAAAGTCTGCGTTCACATCTTTTTACCAAAAGTTTCCTGATAACTCTGGCTAAATTCAACTTTTTGAACGTTTGAACATCAAAAAATTACAGCGAATGGTTTTTTTTTCGGACAATTCATTTCTTACAAAACCAACTAAAACGAATCACAAAAGCTTCAAAAACGATCAACTTCAAAAAGATGTTACGCAATACTCTACGAACGATTATCGGAGGAAAAATAAATATATATTGACATTGTTCTGAACCACTTATTGTTCTCAATAAGTTCAATTTTAACGTGACACAATAAAATTTTAATTTTTCCTCTGATAATTTTGTAGAGTATTGCGTCACAACTTATTATCACTCAAAAGTTGTTCAGTCACATGAATGAATTGTATCAGAAAATATTTATCAGAAACTCGCATTTTATCATCACAGGTTCATCGACTTTCATCAGTATGGCTAATCATACAGTCTTACTTAAGTTATATAAAATTACCGTATAATCAACGCGTTAGAAGTCTAACGTAAACCCGGATTGACCTCTATAGACAAAATGCCTGTCATACAACTCCATAAAAAAGTCTATGAAAAAATACTAACCATACAAATTTCAGACATTTTGCTAAATTGGTGTCATCGAATTTTCAAAACACTTTTTTCATAATTTGGCATAAAATTCGGTGTATCGTACTAAATAAAAAAAAAACTTTCCGTCAAAAATGCTAATCATATAATTTCCACGTATGGAATTTGTATGACTAGCATTTATTTGATATCGACAACAAAAGTTTTTGAAGTAATTTTTGAAATTGCCCCAAAATTTTTTTTTGTATTTTTTCAACCGTAGATCGAATTTTGTACTCAAACAAAAATTTTCCAAGAATTAATTTTTCTGCTGGCAAAATTTAGATTTTTGTGTGAATAACGTAGTCTAGGATACACAAAAGTGGGATTTTTTTCCATTGCTCTGGATAATTTTTTTTTCAAAAACGCTAAAAACTCCTGGTTCTTTTGTATGGCGTATTTATGTATGCCTTGATCAATGTGTGATCATTTGAAAATTCGAAATAATCATCTTCAAAAAATTTTTGTCACAATTTAAAAATTTGATGCTTTCAGTATATCATTTGTGTAAGAAAATTCTTAAACATTTCAGGTCGTTACCAAAGACTTGTAAATGCGAGACAATCAAACATTTGATGACTTTAGTTTTGGTTAAACCATGGTTTTTGTCATTTGTGTTGGGTCACGAACACATATCAAAAGTTTTGAGAATTAAATATATTTTTTTGGTTCATGGTAAAAAGCTTGTCATACACCTTCCACAAATAAAAAGTCACTAATCATAGAACTTTCATGCAATTTTCTGTACTTATGGAATTGCATGAAAACTGTTTGATTAGCATTTTGGTCAACCCGGGAGCACGGTAAGTTAAGGATAAGATGAAGGCCATTATTTATTCACAAGCGGAATTTCCAAATGAGCTGCTGAGCTCTTTACGAAGAACCCTGAGATTAATGTCTCAGTGTTTAGTCATTGCTTATTCAGCTTTTGCAATGAGTCACTGCTGAAATTGTACAAATAACATATAAAAAAAATGGCGCTGATTAAAGGCTGAATTAGCAATGATTCGATCAAGTTGTTTTCATCACTGATTTAGGGATAATTCATCGCTAATTTTGGAATTCCTTGATGTTCCAGATATGATTCAGAGCTAAATTAAGAGCTGGGATTTTTAGCACTGGTCTATCTATGTAACTATGTTTCAGTCCTGATTAACAAAAAATCGATCTGATCAGAGCCTGAAACAGTGATGATTATCCCTGCGACCTCAACACGGTCCTCTTCTGTGCGACTAAGAATTTAATACAATTTTTTCAGTCAAAAATGTTGATCTCCTGTCTAATTGTATTCAAAACAATTTTTTTCGAATGAGCATATTTATATCCGGTCAAAATGCAGAGTGCAAAAATTAGGCGCGCCAAAAACGAAACCAGAACGCCCATACGATATCAACGAGCCAGAAATCAAGGTGTTTTTCTAACTTTTGAAAAAAGTGAAAAAAGGTGACGGAATATTTGAACTCAAAGTTTTTATTTTATTTTCGGCATATAACAAACACGAGTTCATGGAAACCGACATAAGTTCTCACCCAATAATTCTGGAACCACCTATCATGAGAATAACCTGCTAAACTCAGTCAACGACGAAACTGAACGAAACCCGCCGAGAACATACAACCAGCAGACCTTCTATGGATTCTCGAAAACCTCACGCCTCGCGTCCACTGGGACGGATTTTTGCCGACTTAGGTGGAATAGTATGATTATCCAAGGACGACTCATCAGGTCCGCTATAAAGCTCTCGTTGGTTTAGGAGACTGACTAAGAAAAAAAAACTGGCTCCCATTAATAGCAACTTCGTCATTGACAACAGGACTAATTTCTTTCCAAAATTGCAACCTGCGAATGGGTCCGTTCATGTTCTCCACAACTTGAAGCACTTGTCGAAAAACCTTCAAAACTTAATTCGACGGCAAATTGAAAACTTTCCGAAAGCATTGACTTTTGATCGCAACAAGTTCCACATAAAAACTTTAATCTTTACTATTTTCAAAAGACATAATCAATCATCTTAGCTAGCAGATCCAGTCATTCAGCTAAGTAGCCGTTTGTGTTTAATGAAATATACATTTTAGGTAACGACTCACGCTCTGAGATACTTAGATATTTAGTTTTTGGTACGGTTTTCTGACCCCAAGACTCCTTCACTGAGGATTTTCTTGAGGGGGAGGGGGGCGGGTTTTCAAAAAATTTTCGAAATTTTTGTCGACCTTTTTTTTAGGTCGACCAAATTGAACTTTCGAGCTCGCCCAAAGCACTGTTTTGTCCCTGTTTTGAAAAAACAGCCCAAAGAAAGGCGTTTTTAGGCTTTTTTGGAAAATTTTGACCAAACAATCACGTTTTTTTTTGGCGCGCGCTGCCCCTAAAGATTAGTATATATTGGCGCCAAAGGCGCCTTTAGAAAATTTTTAGGGTCTATCACCAAAATGGATATTGGAAAATAGTACAAAGGGGGACCCTTTGGGTCGGCAGGGGTTCGAATCCATGAGAAGCGGGGGGGGGGGGGGGGGGGGGCGTCCGCCTCTCCCCTCCCCCTAAATTCGCCCCTGCTGTCAGTCCTTGATAATTCCAAATTGAATTTAGCTTAAATGAGTGATTCAAATGATGCTTAAACAGATATCAAATTGTCATTTTGTGATATTGCGTGTCAAGGGAAGTTTTTCAAAATGAACGGATTTTTTGAAAATAATACTTTTGGAGTACTCCTACTCATTTTATCAAACCTGAGCCGAAGTCAATCACAACTATTATTTTGTGATCAATTTTTCTGATGCTTTATGTTTTCGGTCTTCTTTTTGAAGATCTTTCAGTTATCTTCTCTTTTAGGATTTGTGCACGTTTACTGACTATAGTAGGACCATCCGTAAACTGAAAACTTTATTAAGGACAGTGGCTTGACTCCTTCATAACAAACTTAACGATTAAATTTATTTAAATATTGAACTTTGCGACGATTTTCTATTCATTCATTAAAACGGGGGGCTAAATAGCAAGATCCAACAAAACTTCTCGTATCAACACAAAACCCTGACAGTTCAACCTGTCCTTTCAGGTGTCTTGCTTATATTTTGATAATAGTTTTTCATACAATGATCAGTTTGTTTTTAAAAATGATTTTTTTTTGTAAAATTTTCAGGCACCCAATTTAAAACACAAAAGGATGTATTTTGCATCGACTAATTCATGGTTTGCATCATTGTGCATCATACGCGCGTTATAAAAACAGAATAAGTTTTGCTTATTTTCCCAAATCAGCCGAATTTGCTAGTTTCAAACTTCATAATTTAAGAAAACTGTTTCAGGCCGAGTATCTCTTTTATAAAAACAACAATCTGTTATTTTCTTTGAAAGTCTTAGAAATTATGATTTAATTGTTCAATATTTTTGGCTGGTTTTTATGGAAGCTATTTGCTAAACATTCGCCCGATTTACCAACTAATATGATATCATACCCCGTTACCCCAAATAATTACGTTGCTTGAGGTACAGTACCAATTAAATCTGGTCTGCTACAAAAATCAGATCTAGTTTTTAGTTATCTCATAAACTGTCTGAGACAGTTATTGACAAGAACTACGTCATTCCTTTTCAGCTAATAGACAGATAGATTGAAATGTGACTTCTGCTAATCAACAACAGAGGAAGTGAAATCGAACATTTGATTGCGAGTTGCCACGAGTTCGAATGGCGAGTGCGAGATAATTTGTTGAAATTATGTTATCCTTTCAAGCAAAAATTGCAATCCGTTATCAAACGCAGGTAGCTGGTTCTGCTCCTTCAAATCAGACAGAACCACCCCCCCCCCCCCCCCCCCCCTCAGTCTTGCACTAGTTTAGAGCTGCAATTTTTGCCGACGAGACTACAAGGCGCCAATACAAATTTTTGGTCAAAACCTCCCAAAAATGCTCAAAAAAAGGTATTTCGTTCAAATTGCAATTAAATCTTAACACGAAATCGACCAAATATTTACATTCAAAGTTCGTTACAAATATTCCAAGCGCAAATCTAAACTAATCTTACAGAATCAAGAGAAAGGCAGAAAAATATGGATAAATCATAATGCTCTATAGAGAAAGTGATATCAGTTCAATTAAAGATATCGAATAAAATTTGGTGTCCAACGAAACCAATTAGATGTTTTTCTCCAAAAAGCAACACACTTTTTAGGTTACATTACTTGCAGGGTTTTAAATTTCTGAAAAGAAATAACTACAAAAATGCATACAATTTTTGACCAGAGGCACATTAGCTTTCTTAAAAAGCTAAACTGCTCGTAGGTTGATATTTTCTCAGACAAATAAACAACCCAACCCAACTCCTCCCCCCACCCCCCATAATTCAAATAACGAGGGAGGTTGTTCACTTGGTTAAAAGTATTATTTTTCAGCAAATCAAATTTGAGCATCATGACTTGAATTTGCTATTTAATTTTAGGGAGATATTTTTGACATGGGCCATTTTCTCTAATAGATGAAAAGATTCAAAGAATTAGAAAAATTGAGACGAAACCAAAATTGATGAGAAACCATTTTTTTAATTATGAAGCCAAAGTTCTAAAAATTGCAACGAATAAAATGGACTCAAAAATTACCATCGCTAACTAAACAAGCTCACATCTCTGCTAATACAAAATTTTTTATATCATTGACGGCTGATGCCAATAAATCAAAATTTGCAACAATAGTAGAGAATGTTATTCTACACAGATTTCCGCGAGTTCACACAGTTTTCAAAGAAACTGATGGAATACAGTTACTGCTGATTTAAATTAACCAAACGCAACAAACAACATTTGAAAATTCAAACGTGTTTTTATCAAATAAAGATAAAATTAGACAGAGTTGAAGAGACAAAAAATGGTCAAAAATTTCCCAGAATTAATATGGCGCAATTTTTCCAAAATTTTAACCGAAACTTGACCCCAAAAATGTGTCGTTTTGGCATTTTTAATCAATCAAAAGTTAATTGATGAGAAAATCAAATAAAAAGCCTCTTACACGATCCAGCAAAATTTTAGAACGGCAGAATTTTCAAAAGATTGCGTAAAACGTTTGAAGTTTTTTTAGCCAAACAATTTGATTTTTAAAGAGAAAAAGTTACTCTTTTGGGCAATCAATCCAAAACTTGTTCTCTCATGCAGATTTTTGGAAAACTTATTTTTCTAGATATTTGCTGGGCTGAGTAAGAGGCTTTTATGTAATTTTCTCTTCAATTAACTCAGTAATTTCAACATAATTTTCGGTTTAATCAAAAACGCCGAAACGATCTGCTTATATGAATTAAAAAAATTCAGAAATTCGGAAAAAATTGCACCATATTAATTCTGTTGAAAGACTAATCAAATTTTGTTTTCTTCAGTTTTCTTCCAATATTAAACCAGTTTGGGTATAACAAATTTAAAATTTCACATTTTGCTCGTTTTGCCCGGATAATTCTATTCAGCACTGTATCAAAAAATACAGTAACATTTCAGATGTTTACTTTCTGACTTCCGAAAATAGTATGAAGAATGTTTGGGAGGATGGGGGAGGGCGGACGCTCTTTTTTCAATAATTGGACCCCCTGCCGACCCAAAGGGCCACCCTTGTACTATTTTGAAGTGTCCATTTTTGGTGACTGACCCTAAAAGATTCCTAAAGTCGCCTTTTGCGCCTATATTTAATAATTTATAATTTTAAGGGGGTAGCGCAAGCCAAAAAACGAGATTTTTTGGTCAAAATTTTTCAGAAAGTGCCTAAAACGCCTTTTTTAGACCGTTTATTCACAATTTTGTCTGCGGCCCAGAAATTTTGGCAAACCAGGGAGTTTCTAGTGCTTTGGATAAGCTCGAAAAATCAATTTGTTCGACCTAAAAAAAAGTCAACTTTTTGAAATTTTTTTGAAAATCCGCCACCCCGTGGAGAAAATCATAAATCCGCTCCTGATGGGGCAAACTAAACTTTTCCTCTGTTCTCTGTTATTAACTTTACATGCAGAATGGTGGTTAGAAATGGATTTTTATCTTTTTTTTGGTGTGGTTTTTTCGAAAGGGAAGGTTTGACAATTTTTTTGAAAATACGTGATAATTACTGATTTCCTGTGCTCAAAACTAAAATTAATCGCCTGCAATAGTTTTAGTTGAACTATGGAGAAACGTCACATGTTGAACTATCATGTATTGAACTATCATAGGTTGAAATACATTAGGTTGAACTATGGAGCTTTGAAGTTTTGGTTTTTGCTTCAATTATCCTTATAACGCATAAGCGGCAAAATAATCTGCCTTAAACGCACGGCAAATACTTTTGGTCAAATCAACTCATTGCCAAGCGCAAAATTTTCAAAATTTGTTTTTTCTTTCTAAAGTTTCTAGAAAATATCTAAAATCAAACGCCATTGCTCAGACAATAAGGTATTATTAAAATTTTTATTAAGCGAACACAGCTGCATAGAATTTAAAAGGTGATCCTAAAATCTATAAACTTTAAAAAGCGGTCTGATACAAGCAGTCTTGTTAACACTGAGCCGATGCTTCGCTTTGCAAACACTTGCGAGAAGAAGACAAAAAGCAGTTCTATAAATTGCAATAAAAAAAAGAGAAAATGCTTTGAATTAGAAAAAAACTTATGTCCGCTAGATCTGGTATTTGATCTGCGACCTACTGCGACCTAGAGATAATGAGTCTCACGCACTAACCACTAAGCCACGCAGTGGCGGATCTCTTTTTTTCACAAAGGGGGTGCGGATTTTCAAAAAATTTTGTCTAACTTTATTTTTTATTTTACTAAATTGATTTCCCGAGCTCTCCGAAAACACTAAAAAAACCTGTTCTGGTCATATTTTCTGCGCCGCAGGTAAAATTACTTTGAGGGCGAAGAGCGCATTTTTTGGCGCGCTGTTCCCCCTCAAAATTAGTAAATATTGGTGCCGAAGGCGTCTTCAGAAAAATTTTAGGATCCATCAGCAAAAAAATGGATAGTACAAATGGAGCACCTTTCGAGTCGGCAGGGGTTCGAATCCTTGAGGGGGGACGAATAAATCCCCCCTCCAAAAAAAAATCCGCTGGTGTAGCCACGCACGCTTTAAACATCTCAAACACTAGCCACAAATAAAGCAGCGAACAGATGCTTTGAAAATTTGGCGCTTTTTCGCTTTTTCACTCCACCCCCCCCCCCCCCCCCCCCACACACACACACACACACACTTGAGTTTCAGTTTTGAAAAACTTATTTTACGTTGTCATAATCTAATAAAATTTAGCTTGGTCAGCAAACTAACAATTGTGAACCGATTTGTTCTTCATACCTTATATCATAACATCACGCATTCAGCCATAATAACACGTAAAACAAATGAGGTTTATTAGGTGCTATAATTTGCAGGAGGCTTTTTTTTTGCTGGGAGCTGTAATGTTAAAAAACCAAAATTCTTCAGCTGCATCTAAAAGAAATTCAATTATAATTCAGAGAGGTTTTTTCTACTTTATCGCACTCAATAAGTGATAAATTTTAATAGATATTAAAAAAGTTTTTTGCAATGACCTGAATTAGTAAAACAAAATGTTTCGAACACGTTTTCTCCTACTTAACAATTCAAAATCAGATATAACGGATAAAAAATTGCTCGAAAAAAATTTATGATGTAAATGTACTTTTGCTCTTTTTTCAGCGCATCCCTCGCGGATCGGAACGAAAAATGATTATAGTCCGACTCCCTAAGTTATCAAAATCATCGGCTGCGTAAATAAAATAGCTTACCATATAAGGTAAAACGCAAGCGGAGAACATTGTGACGACAATGATGACGAGTTTTGTCGTTCGCCTCTTGCCTCTCTCGTAGCTCTGCGAAGTGTGTCTGTGAGGCAGCTGGTCGTTGCGCTGCCACAGCGACTGCAGGAGTTTCCGGTAGAGCACCACTATGACTAGCAGGGGCACGAGATATCCGAACAGGAAAATCAACTCCACGAACACTTTGAACGCTCGCTCTGTAAACAGCACACACTCATTAGGTAGGATGGCTATTTGCTGTGCAAGTTACACAGACTAGAGTTTCAAGCACATCGATTGAAGAAAAAAAATTTGAAAAAAAACATCAAAAAAAAAAGAAATTTTTATCATTTTTTTATTCTATATTTTAACTTCCAGTTCGTCTTTCTCCAGTAAAAATAGGCGCAATTCGTTCAATGAGACTATTTAAAAGTTAAACTAATGAGTAAACAAAGTAGAATTAATATGAAAGTTCATTGACAATGGAAAAAAGGAAAATCTTTGATCAATTTTTTTCGACAGACACATTTGTTGAAGGTTTTTGAAATCGCAATTACGTCCAATAGGATTTTAATATGATAAAGAAATTGACACCTGTGCGTTTTCATTGAGAAACCTAAAAAATACTAGCTTATACATAGTTTCCTTTCGTCATTTTAGTGTTAAGCTTGGTACAATAATGTGGGTTGTGGATCTGACTTGATCAATTTGCAGTATTAGATGTTGTAATGTTGTAATAGTGAAAGTTGTCCATCCCAATTTCTGCCCTGTCTGACGCCTCTCAGATGTGTTTCTGACAACTGACCTTGTTGTGTCTGATGGTGGAACCAGAGTTGCCAGGCCAGAGTGCACTGGCCCCCCTCCGAGTCGGTGATGAAGGTGAGTGGGAGAGTGAACAGCCCCCACACCAGCCAAACAGCACAACTGCTCCGCTTCCCGATCTCATACGACCTAGTGTAGTGCATGAATTAAACTTCGCCCTGTTTTGCAGCTCATATGAACAAGCTTATCTATGCTCTATTCTATCATTTAAAATTTGAAGAGTGCATGAACAAACTTTGTTTCTATGTCACACTTTTTAAGATTTCCAGTTTCTTTTAGATGTTTTCCGGAACCATTTGACGCTTTGAGTAAAATTTATACAAATGCGTTTCTTGTTACTATTTTCCCCCAATCATACTTGTTTTTATATTATAGGTTGGTTGGTGCGTGGATGGACATTAGAAGAGGTTCGATATTAGTTTGTGTTTGACTATGCATTTTAGTCGATGAAAATGTACAAAAACGTTGAAAAAAAATTATAATGTCAAAACAAAACTGCTCGTTAATCAAAGAGAAGCCCTGAGTTTTCCGACTGCATTTTGGGCCCATTTTTTTTAAAGTGCTCAAAAATGATGAACAAATTGGATCAATTTTTTTTTAAATTTTGATCACCCCATACTTTAATGCAAACTAGATAAGGATATATGTAGCGTCTCTTATCCTGGTAATATGTTTAAATGACTAATTAAAAATGACAAAATGCCCTAATTCAATTTGGGACGCATTAACACGCCGCGTACGCGTTTTATGTGAACGGAAGATACCGCACGTTAATTATCACAAATGGGCCAAATTAGCAATTTTCATACCACGTAAAATTAACAAAAAAGAAACTCTGTAACATGTTTTACATTTGAGCTCCAAACAACAATATTCATCAGATGGTATAAAAACCAACTCCGTCAAAGACGCTTAGTTAAACATCAAAAGTTAATTGCAAAATAACCACCACAAGCAGAAATTTTCCGCTTTTCCTTCGAAAGTCGGAACAATAAGTGACATTTTTAAAATGCCGTTTTGATTTTGAGGAAAACAATTTGCCGATTAAATTAGCCTCGATAAAACTTCCGCATGCTAATTACCTGACATTTTTCCATAATCTATTTTGCCTTGAAGCAATTAGATTTTTTTGTGATTGACAGATAAAATTGAAAAACAATTTCATTTTCTATAAAAATTGCTTTTTTTTCAGCAACATAAAATTTTCATTGCGTAAATAACTATGGAAAAAATGGTTTATACGCTTCAACGCAACAAAAATTTGCTCTTGCTTGAACTATGTGATTGAATGTACTATGAGTCTTCGTACTGCTGGTTAAGTTTTCAGAAGCTTTCAGGAAATATATATTTTTTTATAATATGATAAATATAGTCTGTTTTGCTGTCGAATTTTACCACCAGTGGTATCAATTACTACGCGAAGAAGCTCCGTTGTGTGTTTTATTAATGTGGCCTTCTATCATGCTTATTTTAGCATGTCATCTTCTTTTAAGGATTATCCTGGCACGGATTAGTTTTAATATTTTGCTCAATTAAAATAGCCGGTTTAAAAATATTACTTTCGTTTCAACTTTCAATATTTCTGTTTCAATATTCATGCTTGTGTTTGTTTTCGCCTAGGCCGATTTCAATTTCAAATTATCAAATATTGACAATGACCTGATTTTAAATTCCGACAAAAGTTCAAGTGCGGTAGTTTTGTGTAAAAACCCAGCAGTTTTAAAATATTCAATTACTTAAAAACTGGATCTTGTTTTTTTTTCGGAGCTCCGGTTTCCTTTCTTTTTTTCCACTTTTTTTGCAAAAAAAAAAACAGTGTCTGGATTTTTTTTGGTTCTACGTATTTTTCAATGTAAAAAAAAAACAACTCGATGCAAAAAAATTCAAAAGAAATTTCAAGTTATGAAAATTAAGAGAAAACGAGTAAATAATCAGTCAAGACTGCTCGTATCAGGGTAATAATTTGAATATTTATCTCTACTTGAAACAATCTGCGGTATTTTTTCTATCGCCAATTTTTATAAGTAACTATCCTCAATTAACCAAAAAAGCATGTTCAAAAAAACCGCTTGATTTTCCAAAAATGGTCGCTGGAAAAAAACAGTCGTGAAAGAAACAACCGCCATTAAACAAAAACTAAAAAAAGATCCTACAGCAAATACTTTTTAACTCGAAATCTTGACAAATAAACAAAATGATCGCAAGTAAAACATCTGCAAAGGAAGTATAAAAACGTACGTCAAAAATTACATTTTTTTGCCATTTTTTGAGTCTAATATTAAGTAAGGCAAACAAAAAAATAAATCCGAGCATTTAGTGTTTTCCTCAAAAAGTGAATCTAAGGCTCTTCTCGACTCCTTGTTATCCATATTGCATTTTTTTTCTGTTCTTTTTAGTTTTGCATGATATCTTTTTTTTGTAAAACGCTTCCTTATGAGACTAAAGTGTACCTCTTAAGTTTTGTCAGTGGATTACATTTAATGCTGACGACAATTTTATCGCGCAAACCGTAAAATGGTCGTTTTTGCTTGATTTTTTATTGCAGTGCAGTTCACAGATAAATGGTCGAAACTAAAACAGCAAAATCTGAAATTAATTGATTTCATGTGTGCAGTCGATTTGTAATGTCGCGGAGTTTGTTTTTGTAAGCGGAATCCGCGAATTTCAAACTAAATTCAGAGGCATACCCGTACCTAGAGGATTTTCTGTGCAAGATCTAAGCTTTTCATTTTTCACAATAGTTGATTCTCAGATCCGAAAATCTTTATTTCATATCTGAATAAGAATTTGAAAGTTTCAGATATGAAATAACCATGGAAAACAAAAGTTCAGATCTGAAATTAGATCTGAGAAAACTTTGTTAAATTATTATTTATGCATTTCGAGCATACATGAGTTTTTATTGTTTTTCGTTTCTGCAATACACAATTATGTATAGATTAACTAGCGGTAGAAAAATAACTTTTAAATAATTTCACAACCATTTTTTTTTAATTTCACTGAATTTTTTTTTCAACTGTGATAAAAGTTTTACAAAAATTTTTGAAAACATCAAATTTTGATTTTTATGCACTTTTCATGCGTTTCCCATGTCATGCCATGCTTGGGAAAACATATTTGGCAGTCTTCCATTAGAGAGTTTGCAGAGTACCTGCTAATAGCCAGCAGCAGCTGTCAGATACAAAGTATCAAAAATGGCAAAAATTGAGTGAGAATCATTGGTTTTTTAGATCTGAATTAACCAAGAAGAACAAAATTTCAGATTTGAAATTAGATCTGAAATAGCCCATCCTTAAAGTATGCAAGCGGTATTTAAATTTTTCACAACCCATTTCAGATCTGAATTAGAAAATTTGCTAGGTTCTGCTAGGTTCTGCAAACATTTGCTAGGTTCTGCAAACATTGCTCGATAGAACTCAAAAGACAGTTGACAATTGGAACATTCAGGTCTTCGCCTTGATACAAGCAGTCTTGTTTGTTTATAGGACTCAATTTCAAAACTACTTCATTTTCATTTAGTTTCGATGAAAAAAAAAACGGAAAAAAGAAATTCAAATCTTCATGATAACTACAACAACACGCTCTCTAGCTGAAGTAATTTATTCATGTTTTGCATATCACTGGTTCAAATTCAGCGCAATATTTTCTGACCCTGCCTTTTAGCACACTTCAGATTTGCATATTAATGCATTCATACCACTTCTGTGTTTATCACTATGTTTATCCAGAAGAAATAAATTTTTACGTAGATTTGACTGAATTCGTTGTCATCAGATAGGTTTTAACTATCTAATTTGTAACCAACACCATAAAACATCGATTAAAAGTAAGAGCTATTCGTCAATAGTCATAACTCATTTCTTTTTGAAGACTCAGTCAAATATAAAAAAATTGTTAGATACTAAGGCGCATTCCCTAGGTAATTAGGTGCCCAAAAAAGAAATTTTAAATGATTGCTTGCGTTAACTTTTGAAGTTGACTTTCTGATATCATGTCAAATAATCTGATTGATCTAACTCATTCGGCTCTTTTTCCTCCCCCCCCCCCCCTGCAAATTTTTATAAATAATTTTTTTTTTCACATTGTCCGATTGTCATGAAAACTGACGTGCAGACTAATTAGGCTATGACAAACATATTTGGTCTGCATAATTAATCGAAAGCTTTCCCTTCTCACATTTAATGGTCCGATAACAAAAATAATATAACAAAAACATTTTAAAAAATGGCCTTACTTAATGGCAAAAAACTGTTAACAGATTGTCACAGAAGTTTTAATACTGCTTCCAGAAAAAAAAGCGTATCATCAAAAACAGACACACTATTCTTATTTGAATTTCACTGGACAAATAAATAATTCATGTAAGGCAGAAAACACCGAGCCTTATAAGGCAAAAAAAACGGAATATCTGTCATAAATATCCAGCCCAAAAATACCCAAAACATTTTACTGGTATAAAATTTGTCTAGTTTTAGATTTAACACAGAAATTTAGAAATTTAGGCTGTTTTTTTTGCATGAATAAAACTTAAGTTCCGCAATCGTGTAACTCAATTACCAGCACCGATGGGGTCTACTTGAGATTCAGAAAAAATAGTAGTTGGTTGTTCTGCAAACAGCCAAAGGAATTTTTCTAGAGTGATCTTTGCCGCATACTACACATAATTGGGGTTTCGTACAGTAAATCGATGTGTCAGTAAATTACCAGAGCAGTAAACCGATTTACGTAATGATTACATCAATTGCGGAATTAAAGATTTATAGACCGGGGCGTATTGCATGACTGCTAGTATCAGGGCGAAACCCTGAATGTTCCGAGTGCCTTTAAAGGTCTATGGAGCAGCAATAACATCGAAAAAAAGAATGTAATAAAACAAAACTAAAAAACAAATTTGAAAAATTTGAGATTTTTTCGTGAACATCATCACCCAATTTCACGCCATATCAAGTACAAAGTGATAGATTTTGCTCCTATTAACAAATTAATTATGAAATATAGGCTTCCTTGAACCAATTTAGAACAATTTCTAAGACGGATTAAATCTCTGCTTACGCGCTAATAGCGCGAAATATATCGAACGTTAATTGTCCCAAATTGGCCAAAGTAGCTATCTTTCTATAACGTTACAAAAATGTTTTTTTTTCAATTTTAAGCTCACGACAGCAATAGCTTTCGAATCATATACAAAATTCTGTCAAAAAGGGCTAGTTAAAAAGTCGAAATTTGTCTGAAGAAAAAAAAACCCACCCCGAGCACAAACATTCCGTTATTTTTGTTAGGAAAGTCGGAATAATTTGATTTTCATTTTGCTTCGATGAAAAAAAAACAGTAACAAGAAATTCAAATCTTCATGATAACTACAACAACACGCTCTCTAGCTGAAGTAATTTATTCATATTTTGCATATCACTGTTTCAAATTCAGCGCATTACACTAAATTGGGGTTGCGGTTAGTGTCAGTAAATTACCAGATCAGTAAATGGATTTACGTAATAATTACATCATGTGCCGAATTAAAGATTTATAGACAGGGGCGGATTTAGGGGGGGGGGGGGGGGCGGACGCTTCCCCCTGCCGACCCAAAGGGTCCCCCCTTTGGACTATTTTCAGATATCCATTTTGGCTGACGGACCCCATATTTTTCTAAAGACACCTTCGGTGCCAATATATACAAGTTTTGCAGGGGGAGCGCGCGCCAAAAAAACGCGATTTTTTTGTCAAAAAATTCCTGAAAGTGCCTAAAAACGCTTTTTTTGGCCTGATTTTTTTAAAATTTTGAAAATCCGCCTCCCCCCCCTATCTAGAAAACCCTAAATGCACCTCTGTTTATAGAATAAATGTTTCACGAGCTAGAACAAAAATTTTAAGACTACGGAAAGAGTTGTGTAATTCAAGTTTTTTTTTGAGGAAAAAGTTGATCATTTTGTAAAAATCTCAGTTTTAGCTGATGAGATAACGTAATTGAATCATGAATTTTCCGTTTACTGATCTGGTCTGCCCGTTTTGGTTTTACTGATGCATCGAATTTCTGATCTACCACCGCTAAATTGTACCCGCAACAAATGCGTTTTTAATTGTCGGAAATTTATTTTTTTTTTGAAAATCCGCACTAACGCTACAATTATACGAAGAAAGAATTTTACCCAAACAATTTTTTTGTTTGCCAAACGTCTTTGGTTATACCTATGAAATGGTTTAAATAGCGAAATCAGAAATAAAATATTTTTTTTGCTACTTAATACTCAACCGAAATGTGAAAGAATTCTCATTTTTGTCATTACGTATTAAATTAACCAAATTGTTTTTCTGATTGCCTGAAGCTGTTTTTTAACAAAACATTTCAATTTTTCTCACTTTAAAAACATATTTAAAAGTTTTTTGAATGCAAAATTTTAAAGATTATAAAGATTTTGCTAAATAGTCAAAGAACCGTCAACAAAAAATTTGGAAGAGCTGACACGGTAAAGAACTTTTGGTTATAGTTTTTTCAACTACCTGAACTGCATGGAGGTAATTGGATGAACGACGGCCATGAATCTGTCCAGGGACATGAGGACCATAGTGTATATGGACACAAACACCACCAGTGTCTGGATCATGCCATAGAACTGAAAAAAAACAAAGGCCCTAAGCAATAATTCAGACGCCTCACTTTCAACGATAATATAACTTTTACTTTGGACCAAATGTTTCGTTTCAATTAGCTTTTGTAGGTTCAATAAAATGGATGGCTTTTTGATGTTGTTAGTAGCGTTTTTGGTAGCCTTCGGTATACATTGATAACAGCAGTGGGGCGCGTGGAAAAAGTGGTCAGTTTTAATTCGTATATGCCTATTCTAACTTGACCAAACATTTGCGCCCCAAAAGCAGTCATTTCCGGAACTGACCGATTTTGGGGCGGAAATAACTGTGTTTTTCGTTCAGAAATGGCTGGGAGCCCTGTTCTAAACTACTAACGGGACACGGTCGGCACAATATTTCAAGGTTGCCTTTTCCATTTAGGTACCTCGCAGGAGGGGGGTACCTTTTTTATAGGTGGACCAATTTGATTTTCCTGCACCGCAGGCTGTTTTTGGAAAAACAGACCAAAGCTTACAATTTTTTTTCGTTGCGCGCTTCCCCCTCAAATTTAGTGTATCTTGGAATATTTGAAAACTGGTTGACCAATCAAACCAATATTTTGTAAAATAATAACAAAGGAGTGCTCTGGAAAAATTGGCAACCAGAATTGAGGGGGATGGGACGAAAGCAGCACATTTGAAGAAGTATTGAATTTCTGATGAAAACCTTTCTAGTCTCTGGTTTTTGAAAGAGCGTCCTTGAAGAAATTCCGTCTTGCTATGGCTTCGTTCTCTGCTATATCTCTAACGAAATTTGAGATATTGGAATTGATTCAAGCGCTACTTACAAAATGCAAATGCCAAGTTATATGTCTTGAGGGAAATTCTAAAGATTAGTTTGTTTCATCGAGCAGGATATGGAGATGAAAGTGAAGATGGTTAGATTTTTTCTGACATGGAAATCAATGCTTAACCCAGCGGGCTGAAGATGCAAAATAGGTCCCGATTATCTTTCGAGATAGTAATAAAAAATAGCTTGAAGAGTTTTACCAGAAAATGTTTTGACACTTCATGAATGTTGCCGTTGGTCTCAAATACTTTTTTGTTCTTGATGGAATGTGCCTTTTTTTTTCTGCAGACCAATTTTGACTTTTTAACTGGCCATTTTTGACGAAAATTTCTTCATACGATTTGAAAGCCAGTGGGGGTTTGAAAATTGTCAATTTGGCTAACTTGGGACAATTAACCCACTCATAAATCGTTCCAAATTTAACTGAGGCAAGAAAATTTGTATTATTATTGAGTTACTAGACGCGCTAAGATTATCATTTATTGCTTGGCATACTTTGTGTGCGTCGAGGGGGGGGGGGGTGGCGAATTTTTGAAGAAAAAAATTCAAAAAAAAAGTTTTTTTTTGGTATATTTTATCTTTTTTTTTTTCAAAAATTGTTTCAAAGACGCTGAAGGGGAATCGAAACATTTAGAACTTCGCCTTGATACGAGCTGTTTTGTTATTCCCTTCTGCAAGGCTTTGCAAACCAAATTAAAAGCGATATGTGTCTACCTGTAGTTGACGCTCTCACATCTATTTTCTCAAAACTCAACTAAATTTTCAAATACGTTTCCAAAATCCATTTATTGAGATTTTCTTAAATTGTATTCAGAAATATTACCTTGCATCGTAAAATTTCGTGTCTTTTTTTCAAGTTTCCCCATCCCTACTGTAAAGTTGATATATAAAGATCATTATTTTTAAGAGAGTATTATTTTTTCAAGACTATTTTTTACGGTAACAACAAAGATCAATGCTATTTTATGGTTTACTGTAACAGATTCATTTGCAGCAAAGTAAGGGGGTGACAAGAGCGGATTTGGTGGGTCGTTACCTTGCAGTAGTATAGTCCGAATGGCCAGGGGGAGTTGAGGAAACAGAGGGTGTAAGCTGTAGGGGGGATGACGAAGACACACACCAGCAGGTCTGCCACACTCAAATTCAACATGTAGGCTATCGTCGGACTTTTCTTCAGACGAGACATACTCAGCACCACCAGCACCACACTGTTTCCTGAAACACAAATAAAAAAAAATAAGATTTTTGATCACAGAAACTGAGCCTGTAAAAGCCGGTAATTTTGGGTAAACGTTTGTGTCTGAGTTTTTGCAAAAACATCGCACTATTTTATTCTGACATGAATCAAAGCAAAGTTTTTTTTGTAATTTTAAGATCTAAATGATAATTTTTTTTGTAATTCAAAAAAAAAACAGATTTATATATTTAATTATACTTAGGATCTAGTTAACAATTTCCCCACCCCTTTCAAGAAAGTGAGGAAAATAGTAAAGTAGAATAAGTTGCTCGAATTTTTGAGCAATCAAATGCAGTAAAGTTAGAGTTCTCAATAAGAAGCTCTAGTGCAAATTTACTGAATTTAGTTATAGGGGTAGTTATTTTTTAGTAGATATCATAAGGGGGGGGGGGAGATTGTAAGTTTTTCTAATTTTGTTTTCAGGTGACATCACAAAACTTCATTAGCCATATTGCCATGCGTTTACATTTTACCGCCAGTTGAAAGCAGTCCAACATGAGTTGGGACGGGGTGTCTAACTCATAGAGTAACTTCAGATAAGGTACACCGTCTGCTCGTCACGCTATCTTGTTTTCGGCCGGATAGATTCGTGCAACTTCTTAGTCTAATACCGATCTTAATCTTACTCTTATATCTCTTAGTCTCAATAGATCTAGAATATAATGGTTTATTACGAATTGATCTCTTGGAAAAGGCAACTAAGCTGTAAGTTAAATTCAGAATGCTTTGGTGCTGAAACTACAAGTAGTTTCAGCACTTACAAATAAATGGGTTGTTAGTTAGATGGAGTATGATTGGTTAGTCTTCAATATTTTATAGGGATAAAATATCTAATTTATAACCAATAATAATATACAGTTTGGATCAGGTTCCAAACAGGTAGAGTTGACTGTCAAGTGGAGAGTTTTAGACTTTTAATTTTAGTTCTAAAGATCAACCTTGCTTTTTTACTCTTTGGGTTTTGTTATCAAACCCTATGGAACCTATAACAAAAACCAACTGCCTCTATAATGAAGTAGTTGTTAAACGTAAACGAATATTAAATTTTTAAACAAAATTCTCCCGTTTTGTAAAAGGAGGGGGGTTTATCACTGTTTTCACCACAAGTGCTATTTTCTGACAAAACGATCAAAATTTGTATGTTTGCTCGATCTCTTTTGATAGACTGGATAGCAAAATAAATTTCTAAAATCCACAGAGTAGTGCCTAAAAAACGTTTTCCTAGAAAAGTGTCACTTTGCATACTTTTTGGAAATGTGGAAAATTAAAGTCGTGTCTATGATAAGTGTAATTGCGATCCCACTTTATTTCCGCAAAACGCACCAATGCTTTTCGGCCGGCCACATGTTAGCAGCCATGCCGGATCTTGTTACCATATTGCAAAGGGGGGGGGGGTTTATTGATAACAATATCGATTTGCCCTAGAAAGTACCAAAGCGCTCACCAAAAATTTCACCAAATTATCATTCAGGCATAATTTTTGAGGCGACAATTCGTAACAGGCGACACTTCGAATCAGTGTTCCCCGCTTAATCTACTGTATCGAATTATCGCCTTTTACATGAACTCATGAACTCAAGAAGTCGATATCTCCAATGGGGTATAAAAAAATTTTGTTAAAAACTAATATTTCGATCGGCGAAAATTGATTGAATAAAAAAACCACACCAAGCATAAATATTCAGCTTTTTTCGAAAGTCGGAACAAAAACTTAAATCCAAATTAAAAGTCATTCCATGTTTTATTCAGGCATACAAGTTGTTGTAAATATTAAATTTCGATATGCTAAAAAATCTTATCTGAGTGTACGAGGAGAAAAACGTTAGTCTTTTGAAGTGTAGTTTATGTTTGATTCTCTATTTTCAGTCGAAATGAAATTGACAGCTTAACAAATTTTTGATGATTGTGGAATCTTTCATTAACTTTTGAATTGTTTCTGCACTTTGAACCATTTTTATTGGTTTCCTTCATCAATGCTCTAATTTGATTTAATTAGTTTTGTTCACCACACCTATCAAAATATTGTTTGATTGAGATTGCCGCATATTTAATTATTCATAATGATAATAAGCTTTCATTGAAAAAGTTTACATCAAATGTTTTATGGTGAAAAAAAAGTTTAAAATAGAAATATGAAAGGAGAGTGTTTTTAGTAAAATTTATTTTGGTCCCATCAAATGGGGGGTCCGCAAAATTATTTACATTCTTTTCTTCTTTTTGTGTTTTCTTCCCACTCAAATGTCCCCCCAACCCTCAACCCTCTGGCAAAAATAAGCTTTGAAAAAAATTATGATTAAATGGCTGTGACGGGCATCAAAATCTTTTCTTGGCAACCACGCAGAGAGATGGAATGAATTTTTAAGACAGTTATTGTGAAGAAATTCATTCATTGCAGTGAGCGATGAGGAACTGGTTAAGATATTTGTCTCGCATTCATAAAATCATTGGTTAGAGGCCCGCTATGATCCGTCCGCAGTGATTTTCATATGTTCTTGCAAGAAATTTTGCAAGCACATCTTCCCGGAAGAAATTCCCGCAATGAGGTTCCATGGATAATGATAGATTATAATGGATTTTCATGGTCTTAAATAATCGATTACAATGGATCATTAGTAGGTTATAAAATAAAACGGACTGCTGTTATCACGGACTGTTAAGGTCTGTGGAGTAAAATTTGCTTTAAAAAATAAATGAAATGTTCAAAAAAAAAAATTAAACAAAGTTAATTTTATTCAGAAACTTTTTGTGAAAATAATTCCCACACTCTAAATAAAGTTCAAAAGGAGGTATTAATCAGATAGCAAAGTAATAAGTAGACCAGACCTTATAGCCTGTCTCAGTTCAATTTGGTACGACTTTAAGACGGATTGAACCTCCGCTTACCCGTTAATAGCACAAAATAAATCGCGCGTTATTTATCCCAAATTGGCGAAATTGCCAATCTTTAAACCCTCTTAACTTGAAATAATCAAAAGTAAAACAGTTTTTGAAATTTGAGCTCAAGATAACAATACCTTTTGGCTGATATTAAAAAAACGTCAAAAATGATAAATGTACACTAAGAATTAGTTATTTTTTTCAATTTTTTCACGACGCTTTTTACAATTAATTTATATGTTTTGACAAAACGCACGATGAACTTATGTGAAAACGTACGTTTAATAGCTTTGTTAGAAATCGCCTATCTATCATGAAATGCTTTTTTTACTACGACATATAGCTGAACCTTCAAACAAGCATCATATTAGTAGTGCTGTCAACTTTTTTTATGCATGTTGCTCTTCATGTATTATACAACATTTTTTCTGATTGCAAATAATTTTTTTCTGAATTGTGAGACACACAGAATCAGGTTTTTCCAGCTTAATGGCATCCACTAAATCTACATAGTTCTCTGTATGATAAATTTTCTACAAAAAAAATGTTTTTACAAAAAAAAAACGAAATGCACCCATATACAAAATTTATACCATCACAACGATTAAATTCAAAAGGACTGTTTTTGAATAAGCTGAAAAGAAAAGGTCGAAGTTACCAAATTTTGTACTGGGCGACACATTACAGCAATAGCTGGCCACATAGTGCTTAAAAGGGGGTTAGGCTAGTTCTTTTAGTTCGTCAGTTTTTTAGCAGACCGCTCTTTTAGCAAACTTAAAGCAAGTAGCAAATGAGAATGGCAACTTGAAAGGCGACATTGACCAGTAGCGATCGCTAGCTCTGATTTTCTCTGAGATTTTTACTTTGGCAAGAATGCCTTTGTGCGCATTAGTTACTGTTATTGTTTTTCATAATTACTGGTTCTTTTGTTTTGGAAAACTCTCGAATATTGTTGAATTTGGAACGATTTGGACTCTCCGCTTACGCGTTATTAGCGCGAAATATATCGCGCGTTAATTATCCCAAATTGGCCAAAATGGCAATCTTTAAACCCCCATAACTTTACGAAAAATGATCACAGGTGAAATATCTTTTCAAATTTGAGCTCAGGACAACAATACCTGTCGAGTGATATAAAAAAATTCTGTCAAAAATGGCTAGTTAAAAAGTCGAAATTTGTCTGAAGAAAAAAAAAACCCACCCCGAGCACAAATATTCCGTTACTTTCGTATCGAAAGTCGGAACAACAAGACTACTCGTATCAGGGCGAAGCCCTGAATGTTCCGACTGGTTTTGAAGGTTTATGGAGCAGCAGTAATAACAAAAAAACATTATATGAAATAAAATAAAATGAAAAAATTTTTTCTAAAATTTGAAATTTTTTATGAAAATCATCCCCCCACACGTCATATAAAGTACAAAAAGATAGTTTTCGTTTCTTGTAACACATCAAAAGCTTCGTTCAACCAATTTGGAACGATTTATAAGAAGGATTAAATCTCCGCTTACGCGTTAATAGCGCGAGTTATATCGCGCGTTAATTGTCCCAAATTGGTCAAAATGGCCAAAATGGCAATATTTAACCCCTCATAACTTTACTAAAAATGATCACAGGTGAAATATGTTTTCAAATTTAAGCTCAGGACAACAATACCTTTTGAATGATAAAAAAAAATTCCGTCAAAAATGGCTAGTTAAAAAGTCGAAATTTGTCTGAAGAAAAAAAAACCCACCCCGAGCACAAATATTCCGTTACTTTCGTATCGAAAGTCGGAACAACAAGACTGCTCGTAACAGGGCGAAGCCCTGAATGTTTCGACTGCTTTTTAAGGTTTATGGAGCAGCAGTTATAACATAAAAAAATCAAATGAAATAAAATAAAATGAAAATTTTTTTTCTAAAATTTGAAATTTTTTAATGAAAATCATCCCCCCACACGCCATTTTAAGTACAAAAAGATAGATTTGGTTCCTTGTAACAAATCAATTAATGGCAAATAAGCTTCGTTCAACCAATTTGGAACGATTTATGAGAAGGATTAAATCTCCGCTTACGCGTTAATAGCACGAAATATATCGCGCGTTAATTGTCCCAAAATGGC